TATTAAAGATTCTCCAGAAGTGACGAGAGCCTAATTTTTGTGATGAAATACGAGATTTCATGATCTGAGAATAGCGAGCTTTGGCGTCAGACAAAACCTTTTTATAATGGTTCCTAGCAGTAATAAACAGACGTCTGTTTTCTGGAGAATTGTTTTGCTGATAGATATGGAAGTAATGGTTTCGATTGGCAATTGCAGCAGCACAATGTGAGGAAAACCATGGAGAAGAGTGAGGCTTGACGTGGAATCGTCGAGAGGAAATAAAGGATTCCATGCCAGCTTGAATCCACGAAGTTATGTAAGAAGCACATTTGTCAACAGGGAGACGAAAGATTTCTTCCCAGGGGCCATCACGAAGAAAGTCACGAAAAGAGTCCCAGTCAGCTTTGAGGTAGTTGTAAGATGTACGATGATAGGGGGATTCTAATGGTAAAGAAGAATGAGATAATAGTTTTAGAGAGACCAAACCATGATCAGACGCACCTAAGGGTGAGTGTGAAGAAACTGAACACTGACTAGGATCAGAAACAAGACATAAGTCGAGTAGAGAAGGTAAATGATTCGGGTTGTCTGGAAGGCGAATTGGAAAGTTGACTATTTGAGTTAGGGATTGAGAAAGACAAAAGTTGTGGGCCTTAATGCTTGCAGAGTCACTGATACTTGAGCCAATCCATTCAGTGTGATGAACATTAAAGTCACCGACAACAACAATATTGGCTGATGGATAAAGAATGAGGGCTTGGTCAATATAATCAGAAATAACATCAAGAAGAGTGCAGTCTTGAGATGAGGGAGAGCGATATAGAACAAAGAGAAAGGTGATAGAGTGAAGTGGTGCTAAACGAAAGCACATAAAAGAGTAGTCTGTGGATTCAAACCTAGTTTCCCGACAAATGGGTGAATTCTTACGAGTGTAAATGCCCAGGCCAAGCATGTGACTATTGGAGTCTTTACGAATTAAAGAAAGATAACCATCAACACTAAGATCACAAGATGAGACAGCCGAACTCAAATTAGTCTCACAAAGAGCAAGCAGGTCTGGTGAACTTTGCAAGAGATAAGACTCAACAGAAGAAAAGTTATTTCGAAAACCACGAATATTGGTGAATAATAGGTTTAGCGAACTTAGTGATGACTGTGGTTTTTTGTGTTTTATAGTTTTTGTTACTTTATTCATTTTTAAATTTGTTAAAGAACTTGACTCGAAACATAGATAGTACTCAGTATACTGTATAGCTCAAGCAATTGCCTCATTTCCACTAATAAACTCTAAGCCGTAACAAAGGGCAATGCATACCAAAAGTACAAACAGGGACACCATCCATGCGCAACATGGCACTGTTAGTACTCTGATATTTTTCAGCTGTTGTTGGAATCAGCCTCTCTGAGAGCTATAACAGAGTTTGGGAAATCTGACTACCAGCCGGCCTCAGAACCATAAAACTGAGTTTTATATTTATTATGCATTATTTATTTGGTATCCGGGTGGAGGGGTTAGGGGTATAAAACTAAATGCTATGAAACGATATCCGTCAAGGGCAAGGAAAGCTGGTTAACCATAGACTAAAAGATCTGTGCACCACAAATTATGGAACACACAGCTTTTATTATTACTTGGAGACCTAAGTTACTGAAAAAAAGGTTATTTGCAACAGCCTTCTTTTCAGTTGCTTTTGTGGCCAAGTCGCCCAAGTAATATTTTAACATATTCGAATAAAATAGTGCCTTTAAAATAATTTGTTATTTTTTTGAGAATTTCTTTTAAAATTTAACGTGAAGATGGGCAGTAGACTGTCCGCCATCAGTAGCTTATGTGGCTACAATGGTATCTTTTCAATAGCTTATAATGCTTTAATGATGCTTCTATTACTCTATTCAAAACTAAAATTTTATGAATTGTTCTTTAAAAAAACTCAGTTTTCATTGGGTAAGAGTTGTTGGTAATAATAACTACGCTGATTTAAAGATCTTAAAGAAGGACGATGACGATAGACGATTTAAAATAGTCTTTTAAAACAAATGAAAAATTAGGTTTTCCCCCTTTTGAAACTAATTTAAAACTCAAAAAAAAAAAGTTAGACTTTTTGAAAACCACAACAGTTGCTTATAAGCTACGAAATGAACTAAACTATATTTTTTTATTATTATAGTTTATTTTACCGTTTCTTTTTTAATACTTTTTTAATAACGACGTTTTGCGTTGTATTTTTATAACAACTTTAGAATCACTAGGTTTATTTTAATGTTTTTGATGTATATTGCAACGTTTTTTTTTTATAAGTCTTTTTTTAATTACTAGTCATTATTTTTCAGAGCTTTCGATCTCACTGAAAATTGATGCGTCTCTCGTGAAACAAATTTAATAAAAATCTAATTAGCAGAAAAACCTTGTAACTATAACGGAAGCATACTATAAAATTATTAATAATGGCTTCTGATATTATACCATACATGATACCATACCCAATCACTCTCTCTTTTGCATAAGGTCCTCTGCGGATAACCTTATGCAAAGATATATATATATCCCCCCCGCGTTGCGGGGGGATATATATATCTTATATATATCTTTTATCAAACAGGACACTAGTATAATTTAAATAATCATTCTGACAAAAGTGCAAAACCGAAAGTAAGTGCGAAAGTGTGTTCATGCTTATTTCAAAAAAATTTAAACAATTTTCTCATTTTGGAAAGGATGTAAACTTTATTCATGCATTTAAATTTGATCATAAAAGTTGAACTCGAAATGATAAGCGTTATTAAACCTGTCGCAAATCTTTCACGAATATGAAAATGGAAATTGATTTTGTTGCCCTCACATTTGAGGAACAGGTGGCTAATATTTTAGTTTTTTTAATATACTTAAAACCCACAACTGCGCTATACCTCAGGTTTAGTGTCGTCACGACGCATTCGTTTAGCCGTAAAAAAATTCATAAATGGCAAATATTCTGCAGTTTTTGTAAGCGTATAATAAACTCGTTGAAAATAAAATGTGTTTGTATCAATCGTCATACAAAAATAAAACCGATGTAAAGTTGCGTAGAAAAACAATCAGAGGAAATAAACTCTTTATGCTGCTGGTAGCTTTTAAACATTTTGCTCTTAAATTTACATACATTATTAATTTTTATAATATTTATTTGCATATTTTTCTCTTTTAATTTTTAAAGTCTGAATTTGCTAACTTCTATTTTTCTATCTCCCGTCACAGTTATTTAATTTTCTAGTAATCAGTTTTTAACCAAATTTTTAGCAGTAATGTGTTTTTATATAATGTATTCAATCTGCCAAAAGTTAATTATAAAACATTTCAGATTTTGAGATATTGCTGTTTCAGTACTAAAAAAATTGCTTACTTAAAAATCTTCATAATCCGTGTAGTACTAAATGGAAACTAATAGTCAGACTTAAAAACTTTTGAAAGATTGCATAGATCAAACTGTTTTTTATCAAGTTTTGCTTTGAATACTCTATTAGAATTTGAGATATTTTTGACAGTGCAATGTGCATACTTTCTTATATCCGCCATTTTAGGTGGTTGTCATGACAACATAACCACCTGTAATTTTGTAAATCAATTTCGTTTAATAAGATCTTTCACAGGCTTAATTTTAATTTTGACTATAAGATTTCACTTCCAAGATAATTTTGAAGGGGGTATACCACCTTAAAATAATTGCATACTTGTAATTAAAATTAATTAAGAGTTGACTATCAAAAATAGATTAAAGCTTAAGTGACTTGGACTATTTTTATTAAAAAAATTGTGTTTTTAAAGCAAAAAAATATGAATCAATATATCCTTACTGAGTAAATCAGAAAGAGTAAAAAAAGAAGCAAGAAATCTGGGGTGCTACATTAAGGCTGGGGAATAAGCTCAAAATGATTCAACAGTCGAGTACGTTTATTTAGCACCTGAGAGTATTATTAAAACAAATAAATTAAATATAATAATGTAAAGAAATAAATAACTACGGTATAAACTATATAGAGGCATGAAATGATTATGGTAAAAATTAGAAAAATAACTTTTTACCACAACAGTAAATAGAGCAATAACAACAATAAAAAAGTCATTACTTATTTGTCTCCAAAAAATTTATATACATAATTTGCAATATAATTATACAAAATGAAGTTAATTTCCCATATATATATATATATATATATATATATATATATATATATATATATATATATATATATATATATATATATATATATATATATATATATATATATATATATATATATATATATACATTACAACCCTGCGAATCGTCAGTTTTTGTTTTGAATCGAATCTCAAATCAAAGGAGGTCTTCATTTGCGTTTCGAATCACATTTCGAATCAACATTCGAAATCAAGTCTAAATTTAAGCATTTTTTTTCAATAATATATATTTCAAAATGAAATAAAATAAAACAATTGTATAATCTCTTTATTGATGCTTCTTGTCCTGGTTAACCTTTTTAAGACTGATTAAAAAGGTATTTAAGGATAAGTAACATTATTTTGATAGTGCCAAAGCGCAAAATATCTAAAACACCCACAACAAAAACAAAATAAGTAAGGATTCGATTTTTGAAAATTTTCGAATCGTATCTCTAATCATATTTTTGATTCAATTCAAAGCTTGGCAGGGCCCTAATATACGTATATATACATATATATATATGTATATATATATATACATACATATATATATGTATGTATATACATATATATATATATATATATATATATATATATATATATATATATATATATATATATATATATATATATATATATATATATATATATATATATATATACATATATATATACATATATATATACATATATATTTATATATATACATATATACATATATATATATATATATATATATATATATATATATATATATATATATATATATATATATATATATATATATATACATATATATATACACATATTAGAGAAATATTATTTGATTAAATTGATATTACAGAAATAGAAAAAAAAATTAAAAAATTTTATATACAAAACATCTTTAAATAGCCAATTATACTCAGATAGTATGATTATATTCCTCATTTTCATTAGGTGCATCTTTAATAAGAGCTTTTACATCATCTATTGAACTGTTAGTGGTTAAAACACTATCCGATTTAGAAGAATTAGAACTATCTAAGGTATTATAACCTTTTTGGGAGAGATTTATGAAAATTTTCAAAAATTCATTTCTAAACATTGTGCCAGAGATACAATAAAGAACAAAGTTCATAGAAGAGTTAATTACAACTCCTAATTTTGCAAAATCAAATGCTTTTTCAACATCACTCGAATGCTTGTTTCTATTCCATTGCATGTAAAAACATTGAGTCAAACACTGCCAAAGCAAAAAAATAAGGAAACTTACTGTAACTGTTAACAAAATAACAGTGGTCTGTTTTTCTCGATTGCTTTTAGATTTTTTGTTTGTTACAAAGTTTGGCTTGGTAAGAAGTCGAAAAATAATTACAGAATTTAAACAGAAAATTGTTATCCATGGTGCAAGAACCAAAAAAATACAATGTACCCAAAAATCATAGTAAAAAGCTTTATCACTGCTTCCGTAGTAAGTTAGTGAATATTTCCATTCTGTTATATTACTTTTTTCTGGATGATAATTGAAAAAGTGTGGTATGTTAATAATAAATGCAAATAGTTGAGTTATAAAACCTATAAAATATGTTACTCTCAGGCTATTAAATTTTCTCACCTTTAATGGGTATACAACAGCAACAAAACGGTTTACTGATACACAGACAATCATCCATATACTGGAACATATGAAGTAGAAGAACATTGGAAATCCAAAATATGAATAGAATGTAACAAAATATACATTTTTTTCTATATCAGAATGTAACTTTGTAATAGTCTCAGTACAAAAAAACATGACCAGTAATCCAGAATCAGCAAATGCTAATATTATTAAAAGGACACCAGCACTTTTACCTGAATCAGATCTTTTTTTGTTAATTTTTCGCCATACAACAATGGATAATACATTTCCAATTAGCCCAATGAGGCATATTATAGCACCAATATAATCACTAGAAATCTTATACAAATCTCTTTTATTTTCATTGTTATTTTTTGCATACCATTGCATAATTAAAAATTAAAATGGGAGCAGTGAAAATTTCTAAGTAAAACTTTTTATTATGAAAAAAGATGACAATTTAAACACGAAGGGCGGATTTCGCGATTAACTTATAAAAACAACGTTTACTATTTGACCTATGAAACCGAATACGTAAGTTTGACAAGACTCTAAAGCTTGTTCTCCATTCAGAACTATTCGCGCTTAGGAGGAACGGAAGAGTTCTTTGAGCATGCTCAAAGAACTTTTCCGCTTCTCCAAAGCGCAAAAAGTTCTGAATGGAGAACGGGCTTAACTGACATTTTTGCCAAAATTGAGGTTATGTCTTATGTCTGGGTTATTTAAATCATAACGAAAAATATAAACTGAAGCATAGTGCGATCTAGCGAACTATTAGTGCGCCAATATTCTAACGACAAATTTAATTTATCTAGGTTAATTCACAACGTTCCAAACAAACTGCAAATTCTCCCCCTTCTTTTTTTTTTTAATTTGTGATCATGATAGGTAATTTTATGCTCATTAAGTACATATAAAAACAATAAAAATCTGAAAATTTACGTTAAGTAGACTCATTTTAATTGAACATCAAATTTTAAATAATATATATCATTATCACGCTAATAATCGCCATTTTTTAAAATATTTTTTTTTTTTTTTTTTTTAATTATTTTTGATTTTTTAAATTTTATATTTTGATGTGTTTTTGTATTTTATATATTTTTTTTTATTTTTGATTTTATATTTTTTTTTTGTATTTTTAGGTTTTTATAATAGAAAGCCATTGTGCGGGAAAAAAAATCGAAGGTTTGGAAAATTTAAAGAGGAAGATAATTTAAAAAGAATTCGAGAAGTTATTATTTAAAGAAAGGAGATTATAACTTAATAACAGCAAAAAAGTACAAGACTTTCACACAAAAACCACATTACGTACGCTACAGAGAAAACATCTAAAAAGGGATATTATAACTCATAAATAAAAGCTGGCAGTGATTTTTTAATCATAAATAATAATATTTTGTTGTAAAAATAATCTCACTAAACATATAGTTCTTTTATTTGAGCTAGGGTGTCAGTTTGCTCATATGTTTAGTTTCAGTCTTCCGTTCTCTACTTGACATATTATATTTTTAATACAAAAAAGTTGACAGAAAATGTCCGTAGTGTTTCTACGCACATGATAATTATATTTTAAATTAATAATAATCCTGATTTTCCTGATTATTACCCTGATCACTGCCATTGGGTCAGTTTTCATGTTACTGAACATGCGGTGGCATCTGCTGTTCCATATCTCACTCATGATGGTTTGAGTGAGTGTCAACAGCAGTTGCGAGGTAGGGTTTTTTTCCGATAAACTCGCGGTTCCGATTGAGAAAATCGAATTTATCGGCGAAAAAACCGTTTGAAACGTCAAGGAGTTATATACATGTTTAAAATATTCCCAAATTTCAACGGAAGGAGGACAGTAGGCAAAGATGTGAAGGTTGTCCTCGATTTTACCACAAGTTTTACATTTGTTGTTTTGGACAATCTGTTGCCTTGTGCATTTGGCTAGCAAGGCCGCAGAAGGTAGGCTGTTGTGCAAAAATCGAAAGAGGATGTTTTGAGTCGGTCCGCATGCGTGAGAGGTAAAATTCTTTTTCCAAATTTGGGTCCACGGCATTGTTGTTTTTGTTGAACCGTTCCAGAAAGGTTCTGCTGGTACAACTGTCTTTTTGTTTTTTGCCACCTCTAAGTAAAAAATTTTTGTTGATTTTAGGGGGATGTTAAAAAGGGACCCGTTTTTGCCTAAAACTTCAATAGTTGTTTTGTAGTACTGAGACATTTTGTTGTCCCAGTGTTTTGGAAAATTGTTCTGTTTTAAAAAGTTCCAGCTTGGGTTTTGGTTTGTGAATTTAATAAGTGAACTTGCTAACCAGTACTTTGAAAAGTAGTAATTATCGTGAGTGTTATCCTCTCCGCATTCCTTCAGTTGAAAGAGTGTTTTGAGGCGGAGCGCAAGGCTTTGCTCCTTCGGTGATAAAATTCCGAGACCCCCGCTTTTGACGGGTAAGAAAAGCGTCTCTCTTTTGACCGGGTTGAAATTGGTCTTTTGCCACAGATTTTCGAAAATGGCACTGAGCAACCGTTCTATTACCCATTCGGGAACGGGCAAAACGTTTGCCAGAAACCACACTTTTGACAATGCTAACGTATTTATCAACATAGTCTTTCCCCTAAGTGACAAAGTACGTAGTCCCAGAAACTTGAGTTTTTTCTCTATTTTGTTTAGAGTTACTAGCCAGTTGAAGTTGGTAGTATTACTCAGTCTGGTGTAAAACGTAACACCTAAAATTTTGAAACCGGTGTTATTAGTCCACTCTATGTTGTCCAATTCCGGGTACATTTTGGGATCAAAGCCCCCAAGAGCAAGACCCTTGGTTTTTGAGGCATTGATCACTGAACCACTTGCTTTTTCAAAAAGTTTTACTGCTTCAAAAAAGAAACGGACTGATTTTACGTCCCTGGCAAAAAAGTTCGAATCGTCTGCGTACTGCTGTAGTTTAAGCGGTTTCGATGTTCCTGGTAAAGGGAATCCCTCAATTCTGCTGTCCGCTCTGACCACCAAAGCAAGAGCTTCGGCGACAAAGACATACAACAAAAGAGAGAGGGGGTCTCCTTGTCTGACTCCCCTTTCGGTTGGAAAAGTGGCTGACAAGAATCCGCAATTCAGAACAGATGCCGAAATTTCTGAATACAGGGTGTTAATAAAAGATATAAAATTTTCTCCGAGGTTGAATTTTTGAAGAATCTGCAGCAGGAACGCGCGATCGACTTTGTCAAACGCCTTTTCTTGATCTATTGACAAAATGAAACTAGGTAGATTTTTAATTTAGGCGTAATCTATTAGATCACGGACTAGGTGTAAATTTGAGAAAATTGTTCTACCTGGAATTCCGCAAGTTTGATTTGGTTCTATAGTTTTCCCCATTACTTTTGCAAGTCTTAGGGCCAGCGCTTTTGTGATTATTTTGTAATCAGCGCCGATTAAGGATATGGGCCTCCAATTTTTACATTCGGTGAGATCTCCTTGCTTGAGAATTAGTGAAATTATTGATCTTTTCATAGAGTGGCTGGTGTTTTTTTCTACGAAAAATATTTCGTAAGCAAGTTCTTCAAAATCTTTTTCTAAAATGTGCCAAAAAGTTTTATAAATTTCAGCTGGAAGTCCGTCATAGCCCGGGGATTTTCCGTTTTCAAATTTAAAAAGGGCTTCTTTTAACTCCGCGCCGGTTAGGCGGGTGTTTAATAATTGGTTTTCATCATCACTCAAATGTTTAGTGATGTGTGACAAGACATAGTTTTGGCTGTCTTTACATAAATTCGTTTTGGTGTAGATGTTTTTGTAATAAGAAACAAGGGAGTTTAAAATCTCACCAGGTTCACTCGTCAATGTTCCGTCGTTCTTGCGAACTTTGTTAATTGACTTGTTCCTCTGTTGAGTTTTTTCCAAACTGTACAAAAATTTTGAAGGTTTTTCTCCTTCTTCAACTAGTTTTTGCTTCGTGCGAATAAACGCTCCTGGGAAATGGAGCAAGAAAAGAGCATCGCGTTTTTCTTTGATGCTATCTAAATTCGGGTTGGCGTTTTGTCGCTCCCGCTGGATTTCGTTTTCAATCCTTTTGATCTGTTTTTTGTTTTTCGCACTTTCCTGAATAGATATATGTTGTAATTCTACTCTAACAAAAAGTTTGCAGTCGTCCCACTATTTTAAAATTGAATTGTAGGACCGTTTTTTAGTTTGCCAATCTTTAATTGAGAGTTCAATTTTTTGCCTATACACTTCTATTTCTAAAAAAACAGTTTAATTTCCAGTATCCTAGTCCTCTCCTGGTTTTACTAAAATTGACGGTTGTTGTTACGAGCTCGTGGTCGGAGAAGGGGTTGGTGAGAATTTTTGTATATGTTGTTTTTTTTGCGATTTTTTCAGGGCAGTAGATTCGGTCGAGTCTACATTTTGCCATCTGATTTCGCCATGTGAATTCTCTTTTGTTCGGGAATTTTAAACGAAAAACATCAACCAGGTTATACTTACCTTGGAATACCCCGAGTTCGTCCACGCCGTAGGTGTGATATTTAGCGTTGTTGGTGCCTTCTGTGTCAAGAGGCAGGCTTTCGACCATGTTGAAGTCTCCGGCCAACAGGACGGGTAGTCCTGTGTCCTGCGAGAAATCAACAAGATCGCCAAAAAAATGGCGCCTTTCCCTCGGCACATTAGGAGCATAAATATTCATCACCTGCATTTCGTGTTCGTCAAATTTTATTATGACATTTAATATTCTTCCGTTAGTGTCCCTTTTTAGTTCGCTTAAAGAAATGTTGGATTTCGAGAGAACCGCCACCCCGCAACTGTTATGACTTGGACCAGAGTTCCAAATGGACTCGCCAGTCGATTCGTCTCCCCACTGTTGAACAGTGGAAAGTCCAGAGTGTGTTTCTTGTAGGAGGATGAGATCGAAGGAGGATTTTTTTAGAAACCCAAAAAAAATTTCGCGTTTTTCTTGGTCGTTTAGACCGTTTATGTTGCACGTTAAAACATTAACAGTCATGATGGAGAGAATCAGTTTTCCTAATTTGAAAACTCGTGTTACTTAAACATAAATATGATAATTTTACAACCTGATATAAAAAACACGCACATATAAAGCCTAAACTTAAAGCACGAGTTTTCGGTTTAACTGACGTATTACGAACAGATGGACGCACTGGACCATAACATTTTACACAAAAGCGCGAACTACAACAATACAGATTACGACAGCTTACGCGCGGTTTTAAAAATAGAACATGCATTTTAATAGAATAGAACGTGAAAGAATCGAAAAAACAAAAAATCAAAGTTTTAGAAAAAAACAAAGTTTTAGAAGATAAAAATGGTTTTTAGAAAAGAAAGGAGAAAAAAAGTAAAAAGGAAATAATATGAAACCTTACGATTTTTCTCCAGCACTTTTTTATGAGATCATATTTTTCGTAGTCGAAAATTAAATCGTTGTTTTGTTCTTCAGCGATTTCAGAAGAACACGTTCCTTCCATTTCAACGTCGTTCATTACCTGTGTTTGATTTGGAGTGACTTGTTTTGATGGTGTTTCGCCTTCTCGCAAATCGTTTTGGCTCTATCTTTTAGGTTTCGTCGATTCTTTTGTATCGCAGACGATTTGAGCAGCTATTTCATTTTGAGTTTTTTGAACTGCTTTCTTGGATTTCAAAACCTCTAATTCTTCAGGCTCAGTTTGTTTAGGTGAAGATTGAGTGGATGGTTCTTCGTCGGTTTCCTTCACACTTTCCACGACCTCTGAATTTTTTCCTTGGGATGTATCAGTATCAGTAGGTTTTTCAGTTGTTTTTAGTCGACTTTCCGGTTGTCCGTTGTGTTTGTATCGTAACGTTAAACCGTCGACATTTTCAAAACGTGGAAGTGGGTTGGCATATGGGTTTGTCCAGTTTTTGATTATAATGATGACATTCCCTGTAAAAATTTCTTCACCGTGGACTTTTACGCTTTGACAGTAAAAGGAATCAAATTGTCCACGTTCTAGGGCTAGATGATTGCCAAGTTTGGTAATGGCATCTTTGCATCCACTTCGAAGAATTCCTATCGGGATGTTTTGTACCAGAACATGTATTTTTCTTACAAACTTTTGTTGAAAGGTTAAAACGCAGTTTTTAAAAATAATTTCAGATTTTAAAAATAAAGGAATCAATGTGCTGTTGTGGACAGCAAACTCGAAATATTTATGTGCATAATGACGCGTGACTCCCCAGACATTTGTTAATAGATCTTTTTGAGCTAAGGCAGCTAGAAATTCATTTATGCTAATATTCAAATCACCATAACGACAAACTAAAACATAGCTATTCTCTTCAACCGGTTTAGAATTAAAGATTCCAAGTTTCGGCTTTGGATTACAATTCTGACTCGGCGAAGCAAGAACACCAGCATAACTCTTGGACATATTCGACTTTTCTTCGCTTCAATAATCGCTTAATATTGATGCCTACCTTATTACACAGGGACTAAAAAGTTTCAGTATGTGTTTTTTTCCGTAAATGGTAAATACGCTATTTTAAAGTATGATAAAATTTTTAGTCGAGATTTTAAAAATACGCGCTTTTTTTAAAATATCCTTCTAAAAAGTTGCGTAACTTATCTCAAGTACAACTTTATATAACTTGAGATAAGTTACGTAACATTTTTTACCACTGACATTTTTTAGCGATAACTCCCAAAGCAAAAGTTTTTAAATTTTTATTATTAGTTATTATCTTAAAAAATGCGGAAAAAATAACATTTGCTTTCTTTTTGAATTTAATTACGTAGTTATGCAATAAAACTTGAATAAAACATTGAATTAAATTGAAGTTTTTTATTTTCAATAAAAATTGAAAATAAAAAACTTTAATTTACAGGCCTGTACCGTAGGAGGGGGGGAGGGGGCGCGATCGACCTCATTTTTATGCAAAGTGCCTTTTTTAATTTGACGCCAAACATTATTTCTAGTCTCTTTTCGATGTCAAAATTTTCATGATAATTATTTGATTTTTATGAATTATTCTTATGAAACAATTTTTTATTTCATTGTTTCGTAACTTAAGGCGCCGTTACAAGTCATTGCTTTGTGAAATCTTTTGTAAGCGAAAAATGAAAAATAGTCTCTCTAGAGTTTATATTCTAATTACAATTCTCTACTAATACTAATTCACTTTTAAAAGTAAACGATAGAGTTAACATGCCTAACCAAAATAGAAAAAGAGCAGCTGATAGAAAAGAGCTTCAAAATGCTGCGAAGAAATGCAAATTGTTAGCTGGATATTTTAAGTAAAAAAGTTATTTTGATCTTTTTTTTTATAATAATTAGTTTGATTAGTTTGATATTAACTATAGTTATCTATAGACAGGACCTTCGAGAGGGGGCAAATTGACCCGGGCGCCAACCTTGAAGGGTTTTTTTTTGTTTTTTTTTTTGTTTTTTTTTTTACAATAAATAGAAAACATTTTAATGATTGACAATTTAAAATCTGCTTAGATTTTGTATTTGAGGTTGAAACTTTAGTATTCGGAATAAAAATGCACAAAACTTTAATTTTAAATTCTGTTATTATAATTAATTATAAACTATTTTTCATGAAAAAAATAGGATTTAGTTGTAGTTGTACACGAAACTGGGCGTATTGCGTAAGCCTAAGAACAGTTAGCTATGCAAGCTCGTGCTTGATTGTACGGAAGATGATGCGCTGTGGTAGTTATAATAGTAGGTAATCAAATATCGGTTTGAAGTAGTTAACACTGATAACGTAGACACTTTGTTAGGTAGTACGTTCCACGGGTGAGCAACGCGAACGTTGAAGAAGTTGAAGTGAACGAGACATTTCACTATAAAAAGCGCTACTTTTTCCCGTCAGTTATCAAGTATTTGAGTTTTTGCATCGAGTTTAGAGTAGACGGAATGCCTACTTTAAGCCCAATAAGAAAAAAATAGTTTTTTCGTCAAATCGTTGGTGGAAATGGCGAAATTTCAATTCGATGCGTTGGTGAAACTTGCTGAAAAGAGGCTTCTGGTTAACGGTTAGGATAAGTGTTTATGATGATTAAATAAGTATTTAGTTAAACAAGTTGATTGATAAATAATGAGTTTTATTTTGTATTATAGTTGATAATTAAAAGTTAATATAAGTTGATTAATAATTTAAAAAAGATTTTGAAAGTTTTATATATTTTTTCTAGATATTGGTAACGCGCTTGCCTCAGAAGCATTAGATTAGTGGTTCAAAAACATCTCTGTGCAAGTTTTGCGAGATTGGTTAGGAATGAGGTGTTCAGTAATAAGACCGTAAAGACTTTTTGAGACACTTTAAAAACATTTTAAAAAATTAGAATTTTTGTTTTCAATTGTTATTTTTGCGGTTGCTAAGTTAGGAAAAAAAACAAGCAAATATTTTGTTTACAACGGAGTGTCCCTTGGGACTTGATGTAACGGTCTATCGCTGACGTATTTTAACCCTTTGAGCACGGGGAGCCACGATCGTGGCTTTACCGTCAGAGCACGTAGAGCCACGATCGTGGCTTTATAAGTGTTCTTTAGAGTAACGATTTTTTTTACAAAAATATGTTTGTTCATAAATTAAAAATAATACCATTGAATTGAGCAAATTTTTTTCTGTATTTTGGTATATTGTTTGTGGATATTTTGCGTGACAGCGAAGAAAGTTTTATAGAAAAAGAAAGCTGTTCAAGCGAATAAAATTTAAGTAGCAGCAATGATGAATGAAGGCAAAATTATTTTTATCAAATAATTGTATACAATATTATTTAATTCAAATATATCACCAAATATAAGCATTTGAAGTTTTTATTTTAATGTAGACTCCGGTTTTGATAGTGATGCTGATGTAGATTATGTTTTAGATTTGTCGCTCCCTGTTGTATGCTTTTCTAATTATCACACATAATTATCAATTATGTTGGATGCTTTTCTAATTATTAAACAGTAGTTATGAATAAAATACGTTAAATTCATTTAGAAACTACAAAAAATAAACTAAAATTCAAAATAGTTGTTTTTGATTTTTTTTTTTTTAAGTTGAATTTCTCCGTACGACGTTTAAATTTTATCTCGCGCTCAAAGGGTATTGTATTGAAAAGAACAAATTTGCTTGAAATAAAAATATTTTAAACTGTGTCTTCAACGATAAAAAATTAGTCAATAATTTTTAAACGAAAGAAAACAAGACACAAAAAGCAGTGGCTGTTGCAAACACTCTAACACCAAAACCGTAAGTAAAATACAACTATATTATGTTTTTTTATAACGATAGTTCTATAAAAAAAACATATTTTTTTTATAGAACTATTGGTTCTATAAAAAAAATATGTTTTTTTCAAGTAAAATTTCCAATCTGTATAAATGCGGAAATATGATATTGAAACCTTTGTTTAAAAACTAATTATAAATTACAAAACATTTTAGGTGTTTCCAAAAAATGGTTCAAAAGAAATCTTCCGGCGCTCAAAACCGTGCTAAAGCTACTAAAAAAGTAGCAGAAGAAGCAAAAAATAAACAGACTTTAGAAGATATGGGATTTATAACAATAACGCAGACCAAAGAAAATGCCTCTTTTCCAGTAAGTAAACTGTTTTTTGTATCATTTTTTTTTTCTTCTAACAACCTCTGGTATTGTAATCTTTGTTGTTATAACTAACTTTTTTCCTTAAGGATCTCTCTTATAATGACCATGACTCCCAGTCAGTCTATGAGTGCCAAAAGGAACCAATTAGCTCTCCTTCTCTTTTAAGATCACCTGCTGCACTTAAAATGTGTAATTTGCAGGGCTGTGGATCAGTGGGGATCTCAAACAATTCACCTGAAGCTGAGCTAAATGAATTTCAACGTGACTCATTAGAGTCAGAAGGAGGAACTTTATCCAACAGGGAAGAATGTAATGCTCAACCTGATTTGGTAACAATTAATGCTGACCCCTCTTTGTGGCCAGTTGTTTTATGTCAAAAAGATCGAGATGTAATCATTTTAAAGGGACCCCCTACACATTCTTTGAAGCAACGAGACTATCCCCGTGATTCTAAGAAAAGAATTTTTCCTTTGAATGTGTTTTATCAATCTTTGCCTAATAAGGAAAAAGTAGAAAGAGACTTTTTGGTTTGGAGCTCGATCTCCAAGGCTCTCTACTGTTTTCCTTGCTCACTCTTAGGCACGAAAGCAGCATTTAAATGTGGGGAATCGTCCCTTCTTCGTTGGAACGGAGGAGCTAGAGATCAATGGAGGAAACTCATAGATTGTGTGAAGCAGCATCAATCCAGCTCATTGCACCAAAAGTTCTACATGGATTTAAAAGACGCATACATTCGTCTTACCAGTTCCACTGGTATAGATTCAGAGCTCCAGAAGCAAATCAATTCTGAAACAGGTAAATGTAGGACAATTCTTCGTGGAATTTTGGATGTGACTCTTTTCTTAGCTTCTAGGAATTTAGCTTTTCTAGGTAACTTATTATAAGGTTCTTTCAATATCAATTTAATTATTTATATAATTATTTTAATAGTTATAACTATTATATACAATTATGTTTGCAGGTAAAACAACACACGTGAATGGGAAAGGAAATGGAAACTTTCTTGCCGGTATGGAGCTTATCGGTCGTCACAACCCCGTCATTGCATCTCACTTGGAAGATGTAAGACGCCATCAACAAGAGGGCTCCAGAATGAGTGCTCATTACTTCTCTCCAACGTCTCAAAATGAGTTCATCAAAGAATGTGGTGGTGTTATCCGAAGTGCAGCTGTCAAAGAAATTCAGGACGGTATCTACTTCACCATTATAGTCGATGGTACCCCCGATACATTTCACACTGAGCAGATAACCTTTGTTATTCGTTTTCTCCTTTATGAAAAAGAAACTAATTGCTGGCAAATCAAAGAACGATTTTTGTGTGTTGAAGCTTTCGAAAAGAAGAAAGGACTCGATATAGCTAAGCTTATCACTGATGTGATTGCAAGGCTAGGTTTGAATATTCAAAACTGTCGCGGTCAGGGATACGATAATGGATACAATATGTCAGGTGCTTACAAGGGAGCTCAAGCCTTAATAAGACAAAATTATTCGGAAGCTCTGTACGTTCCATGTAGCGCTCACAATCTGAATTTGGCTGATGTGCACGCAGTTGAATCAGCCATTGAGATCAAAGTATTCTTTGGAAATGTCGAATCTTTGTACGCATATTTTAGTGCAAGTCCTGCCCGATGGAAGATCCTCACTGAAGGGACAGGAATTTCACTGCATAAACTTTCTATGACAAGATTGAGTTCAAACCACTTGAGATCAAACCACTTGCCAAAAGACCGAGAGAAATGTTGGCAGCTCTTAAAAATGCTATGGAAAACCTGGATCTGACGAGTGAGCAGCTAAGCCAAGCAAAAGCCTTAAAAAAATGGTTATCAACTTTTGAATTTGTATTGCTAATTACGAATTGGTACAAAACCCTTACTGCTGTTAACGACGTTAGTCGTCTTCTACAATCTGAAGCCATTACCATCGATGACGAGCTACGTTTGATTAGACAGCTGCTGGAAGATCTTAAACAGATTAGGGGCTCTTGGTTGCAAATTTTCCAAAATGCTATAGCTGTAGCTGGACCGCTAGGATTCGAAACTGAACTTGCTACTAAAAGAAAGCGCAAACTAAAGCGCTTTCATAATGAGGCATCAAACACAGTCTATTTCCACGACAGTCAAACAAAAGAATTCAAAGTGAACGTTTTTAATGTTGCTTTAGATAGTCTGATCCAGCAGATTGATTCAAGATTTGAGGCAAGCCAAGATGGTTGCCAATATGTTTTCATTCATCTGGTTGGACAATGATGATCTTTCTGTTCAAAGTAAAGCTTGCGAGCTTGCACAATTCTATCCGAGAGATGTCAACAAAGAGGATCTCATTGAAGAAGTTTGCCGTTTTAAAAATGCCCGCAAAACAATTTTCAAGCAAGGAAATCCACTGCAACTACTTAACCAAATTTTCGAGAAGCTTGAACGTCTTTTTCCGTACATTTGCATCATGCTCCGGATTTTCAGCACTATTCCTGTGTCAGTTGCTGAGGGTGAACGATCATTTAGTAAACTTAAGATTGTAAAAAACTCTCTCCGTTCAACCATGGTACAGGATCGCGTAACTGATCTTTTGATTATTTCAATTGAAAAAGATTTGGCTAAGAAGGTGAGCTACGGCGATGTCATTGATATTTGGGCGGCCAGAAAAGCTCGAAAAATTCATTTTTAGCGCTTTATTTACCTTTCTCGAAGATTTTATTGATTGACTTTTCGTTTATTGATTTTAAAACTAATATTTTGGTTAATGTCAGTTTTGATTAATCAACCGTTTCTCAATCCAGAGAATTAATAGTAACGTAGAAATACAATGTGCTATATTAAAAATAGATAATTGCTGTGTTCACAAAACATTAAACTTTTAATTTCTGAGTTTGAAATAGGGGCGCCGTTCTCCATTTTTGACCCGGGCGTCTTTGCCGCTCTCGAAGGCCCTGTCTATAGATATAGATATTAAATAGATTAGATATTATCTATACGTTAAATTTATTTATGATAGTACTTTTGTTATTACTTGTTTTTTATTGAAATGTTTACGCGAGTTTTTAAAAATTTGGTATAGTTTAAGATCTGAAAGTTTATTTTTAATTACTTACGTTTCAAGTGTTTTTTATTATCGACAGTTCTCAAAATGTAACCGTTATAAAACTTTAACCGAAGTAGAAGAAAAAGAGGAAGTCATTAAAGATGAAAATAATGTTAACAAAAGCTTTTCAGGCGAAGTAGACTAAATAAATTTAAAAGAATGTAATTTTAAAGAAGACGAAAAATGATATGATATTGACGAACTCTTGCGCGGAAATCAAGAATTATCACCACACGAAATATACAAAAAGTTTATATTTTTATATCTATACTTTAATGTCTATATTTTAAATTATAATGTCTATATTTTAAAAGGATCACCAAAAGCAATTGTAACACAATGCAGCTCACATAATTTGAATTTATCAATTGCTGCAACATTAAAAAATACCAATCATTGAAAACATTTTGGAGGCATACAGAAATATATATATTTATTTCAATAAAAAAGAGAGCACTTGCTGGAACATGTTACAGAGATCCGTTGTAAATCAAATGAAAAAAAAAAGATTTCGATAGGGATGTGAAAACAAAATGGTCACAAAGAGATGCCGCTTTAGTATGGATTGGAACGCTCAAGGAAAAAAAAGAGGACAACTCACTCCTTAATGCACTCACTAAGTTCGAATTCATAATTGGTATTAAAACTTTGTACCACTTACTTCACCCGTTGTCTTATATAAAAGAGAGGTTACAAGGGCGCACAACTGATATTGTGTATGCATACAGTAACATTCAAAAAACAATCGACAATTTGAAACATCTACGAAAAAACGTTGAAAAAAAACTTACGCAATTTACCATCAAGCTACTCGTATGGTAAGTAAATTATTTGTAGAACCAACGATTCCCAGAATCACTATGAGTCCCCATGAATATTATAAACACGCCTTGATTATACCTTTTCTCAACACCATCATTTCAGAAACCAAAATACGATTCCGAAAGACAAATTGGATTGCTGCTGAGGTTTTATGCTTGGTTCCCTCAATTATTTACAGTGAGGAGATAACTGCTTTCCAGGAGTTATTTGAAATATTGATCTTCGAAACTCAGAAGCTGTAGATCAAGTATTCATGTTTTGGTAAAGAAAATGGTCTGTTATTAAACCTGAAGATAGGACTAATACTCTAGCTAAAGCCATTAAAATCTGCGATGAAAGTCAATATCCTAATCTCTTTGAGCTTATAAAAATTGGATGTACACTACCCGTAACGTCCGCAGAATTTCAACACAGCTTTTCAGCAATGTGAGGATTAAGAACATGGTTGAGAGCAGTATGACTGCAGATAGACTTGGTTCATTAGTCATCATGAATATCCACTACAATGAAATTGTTGATTATAAACAAGTCTCAAAATTATTTTTTAATTTACATCCTAGAAAATTGTATGAAAAAAGTTTAGTTTTTGAATAAAAATTTAAACCATTTATCAAAGTATTATTAATCTTTGTATCGATACCCATTTTCTAACAAGGAGCTTGCTTATACGCCTATGCAGTATAAAAACAAAAAATGTTCTGAGAACAATAAACTCGTTTAAGTAAACATTGTTTACCCAAATATTGCTTTGTTTCACGAAAATTTTATTAAGTAAATTTAGTAAGATATTTTTTTGGTGTTTTAAAACTCAAAAACGAACCCCCCCCCCTAAAAAATTTCATGGCCCTGAATTTATGTAATTTTATTACATAATTACGCAAATTATTTAAAAACACATTTATTCGCTGCCACTCCTCTTTCCCCCAAAGTAAGGGGGAGCGAATTTAGCAAATTTAGGGAGACTTTTACACATTTAAGGAGCTTTTTTTTTTTTAGAGTAATAACTAGTGGGAAAAAAATTTCATATTTGGAGCTCTATTGACAGGTTGCTTTTTTTGGGGGAGAGGCCCAGACAGCACACGACTCCGGGCCAGCACTCTGGCGAATCATCGCACGCCGTTGCGACTGTATTAATAACGGGCCATTACTGGCGCGAGTCTGGCAAGCGATTCAAGAAACTTTTTATCTAGTGCGACGAAATGCCATTACGCACATTGATGACCAGACTTCACATTAAAATTGTCAATATCTACATTTAACTTCAAAAGTAAAGATGCATGTTTTAATTTTTCAATAACTTGTTGAACACTAAGAAAATATGTACCACCAGAACCTTGACGAAGTATACTATATTCTTTTTCCAGGTGATCTGAAGTAAATTGACCAAGAAGTACATAGTTTTGCGTAGTGTTAAGTAAATATCTACATAAATCTACTAGAAATTACAAGTTGCAGTATCTTTAGAAAGCTGTTTAATACACTTACCTTTGGGACCTGCCATTTTAAGTGCCATATCACCAAATTGTAGTATTAAATTTAAACGGTTGTCATCAGGATTGTTGATAACAGCCTGCAAAGGATCATTATGCCTTGTATCAGCACCAATGGCTTTGACATTTAAAATTTTCCACCAAATAATAACTTTATTAATAAATATAGCAGTGTCGTTAACAGCAATATGTATCATGTCAGGATGTTGCAAAAGAGCAGCATAAGTTTTTTCTGAAAATACTCTTAAAACTGTTAATACACACTGTCGTTCAACAGGTTTAGGAGAAATAGAAGTTTCATTCAGGTCAGATAACTTTAGAAAGCTTCTAATTCTGCATTGTAAAGCTGCTTTAAATGAGTCCATTTTGCAATCCTGGTTACTCCGTTATCGTCAAATATTAATTCCTGAGTTTTTTCAGTTAACCAAAGATTACGAATATTTTTTATGAGGTGTACAAAATCATAAAGTAAATACTTTCCATCTACTGTTAACCATGGTTTTCCCGGAATGAATGTGTACATTTTAAGAAAAGCCTGATTGACACGATTCCTATCACATATAATAGCTTTTACATTTGTACTGACTGAATCAATTATTTGACTAGTTAAATTAATCTGTTCAAACAAAAAATCAGATCATAATTTTGATATTGGTATTATTTTAATTAACACCTTTGGACCCCCATTTAAACAAACAGCCATAATCCCTAAGAATGTTTTGGACAATTCCACTGGGTTATCCTCCGATCTACCAAAAATAGTTCCATCATGGTAAAGCAAACTTTTTTTAACATATATTTCATCATGTAGTATGATACATAATTTCTGCTTATCCGGAAGAGAGTTAAAAATTGAATAAATAAATTTGTTTTCATTAATATTAGAAATTTTTGAAGTAATTCGAGTCAGTGTTGAAATAGATGGAAGTTGATAATCATTTCTTAAGCGATTATATAATGCCCTTGGATGTTAAGAAATATACAAAATCTCCAACTAATTTTGGTCCCATAACTGAAACATGTTGCATAATTACTTCTTTTTTATTATCAATTTTCAAAGAGCTTAAAAAACGAAGTATCTCATCAAACTTAGACCAGGAGTCAACAGTTAAGATTCGATTTACTGTTAAGCTAGAAATGTGACACTTAATCCCATAATGAAATGTTTCAAAGGTAAGATTTTCATGAATTTTAAGTACAAAAAAAGGTATTCCATTAAAAAATTGCAAAGATTGTATAACAACATAACCATCAACTATAAACGATATAACTGGATATTGGTGATCACTGCTATCAATAAACTTGTTTTTAATGTCACAAAAAGTAGCTTTATCCCTTTTAAGAAATGTATCTAGCTCATCATCTATTGTACTTCTAATGCCACTTAAAGATCTTTTGGTAGATCTTTCAGTTGGATAACCAGTTGGAATTTGAGATAAAGGTATTCCTAGCCAAACAGAAGGAGGATTTTTTGGTCGACGTTTTCCTCCACGCACTATAACTGTATCAAAATGTGGAGGCCAGTGTAACTCACATATAACAGTATACTTGGTAACAACCAAATTAGAGTTTGGAATAGCTTTTATCCATTTTTCACGCTCAACGTTATCACTTGAAAACCGATACACTGATATTTTATTAACTTCACTAGATATTTTGTTTTTTTCACTTTGATAGTTGGTGTGACAAGCATACACACAACATTTATTTGGCATGATGATTTAATCTAAATTTTATAAATATATTATTTGCTTTAAATCATATCTGCAAATCCATGTTTAAATTATATAAGTTTATTAACATTGTATTATATTCCATTACTTAAATATTTGTCATAAACGACATGACATTGTATCTGGTGTCTGAACGTGGAAAAATAATTTTTCGCCGTAAAAAAGTAGGCCTCCACAAAAAAATTCGGTTGCGCGATGAATAGGCCTGTAGTAGAGAACGCTATGGTTATTATACTTTGGTTTGTATAAATGTTATGCTGATATCATATCAGCATAACTTTTATGCAAAAGATATGCAAAAGATGCTTATTAATAAAAAAAACACGGTTGGTAATAATGGTAGATATATTTAATTAAATATATAATATATATATATAAATATATATAAGGTTAATTAACCTTATAAAAAACATTCATTTTTCACGTAAAATTGAAAGTTTTTTTATAAGGTTTGATATATCTAACTTTGACAAAAACTTTTTTATTTATTATAATACATAAAACATTTTAATCTCAAGAATTGCAATTTCATCAACTAAATAAAGAATTTTAATATATATTAAAATTCTTTATTTAGTCGATATATATATATATATATATATATATATATATATATCGACTAAATAAAGAGTTTTAATATATATTAAAATTCTTTATTTAGTCGATAAAATTGTATATATATATATATATCATATAAATATATATATATATATATATATATATATATATATATATATATATATATATATATATATATATATATATATATATATATATATATATATATATATTAGGTACGTGAGTAAAAATTTCAAATTGTTTAAATATTCTACTGTTATAAATCATTAGAAATAGGACCAATACAGTATTTTAAAGGTGAAAAAATTATTAAAAACGAATAATTGGTTCAAAAGTTATGACAGTTTAAGTTGATATATGGAATCGTTGAAGAAACTGTGGTCAAAATTATGTTTTTCTTCACGTAAATTGTCATAACTTTATTAATTCTAATCGAAATACAAATATCTTGGTGTCAAAAGATAGGTAAAAGAGTGGGCTACAAATTTTTGTTAAACTCTAACCACCGGGTGTATTGGATGGACAGAGGGGGCACCAAACCATCACCTTACCCGTATGAAACTAAACATTTTTTTCACAAAAAAAGTCTTTTTTCAACACATAAGTATTTTAAATATACAAAAACATTGTTATAAATTTATATTTAACCACCAGAGTATATAAAAGGCGTATGTTAACGTTGGAGGTGGGTGTGGTGGTGATGGTTTGATACACCCTAGTATCATATAAGACTTGTTTTCATAAATATTTTTATCTTTACTAAAATGATTTCAATTAGTATACAATATAAAATTATGTTCTACAAGAATTTACGTGGTGTTACTATTACGAATTTAAGTCATGTTTACATCGATGTATGGGAGGGGAGAATATTCCCCCCCCCCTCCCCAACCTAAAAAAAAATTAAAATGACACAACTACTGTTTCCTAAAGTCCCAAAACAAAGTTTTTTTCTGTATAAAAAAGGTTCTATAAATTAATACTGGACAACCACCAAACATTGAAGGTAAGTGTAAAACTCATGTTAAATGTGTTGACCATGTTTTAACTACCCTAATATCGCAAAAAAAATTTAATTATTAAATATTTGATTGGTTATTTAAAGAACAACAACAAAGAAGTATAAAATATATCTTACCCGTAAAAGTTACATCAGTGTTGCATCCATTCTCAAAAGAGAGGGGCTATCCCCCCCTTTCCCCAAATTAATCATTTTTTTTTTTAAAAAGCATTTTTGATTACTTGGAAAATTTTTGGTTAAAATATTCTTATACAGAGTGACTTCTATTATCAGTCAATAGTGGTAAAAAGGTAATCAAAACAAGGTATTTACCAACCTTTATAAATCTTCAAATCTTTCATATAGTGCTTGATACTAGTTTGGTTAACAAAAAGTTAGGCTGTTTCAAACTAAAAACCAAAAAAAATGTTATTAACACTAAATAATGTTTGATTATTTTAATGATGCTTTATTTCATAAAGTTTTTTCTTGGCTTTTAGTGAATGATTACAATGATAAATTATACTAATGAAATTATTTTATAACCATTTTTAACAATAGACATCACGTGAAGGTAAGCCAGAGTCGCCTATCAAAAATACATAGCAAGTTACAACACTTGCAGTACTTTTGTTTAGCAAGTCACACACTAGCAGTACTTTTTTTTTTCCAACAAGTCACAGCAGTTTTTTAATCTATAAATTTCAAATTTATATATTTGCAGTGTTTTAACAAAATAATATCTAGTCAACTCTCTGGAAACAATATCTGCAACAAGCTGAAACTTTTTCATGCAATGTTCTACAGCTTTGATATCCATTTTATTAACCAACCTTTAATAATTTTTAAATCTTTCAAATAGCGCTTTGGCTGTTTCAAACTAAAAAACAAATAAAATGTTATTAAAAAGAAATAATAATGGTTTGTTTATTTTTTATCTCATATAGTTTTGTCTTGGCTTTTAATGAATGATTACAATAATAAATTTCTTTTAGCTAGTCACAACACTGGTAGTATTTTTCAGCAATTCATTTGTAGTACTTTTTTAGGTTAAATTTCAAACTTGTACTTTCACAGTGTTTTATTAATATAATATAAAATTAATAAAATTGTAACTCTTCTGAAATAACATCTGCAACAAGCTGGATCTTTTTCATGGAATGGTCAACAGCTTCCATATATGTTTCATCATCTTTCCAGTAAGAAATAGTGCAAACTAAGTCATTTTTTCAACTAAATACTTTATCTACTCTGCCATTATACAAAACAGGCTTGGATGTTTAGGATCATATCATTTATGATATTGTTTTTTACCTACAATTCTTCTATACATGACATCTTCTAAATTATAAAGTTGGTCATTAGACAAATTTTTGTATGAATCTATAGTTTCATCATAACTCAGTTTGAATAGCTAACGCTCTAACTTTTTTTGCTCTACTTTTTTTCTTTTTCATCGATTTTTTTGAGCTTGGATGCCTGTCTTTGATAAATATTAGCTCTAATTTTAGCCTGATGCAATCGATTGCTAACTCTATTTTTACGCGCTACATGAACTGAGCATTTAACAAACTTATCTCTCAAATTAATAATATAGAAACCTTACCAGCTGCAACAGATGACAAGGATATTAAAGATTAAATAATACAATGACACAAAAGATTAAATGGTACATGTAAATATTACATATTAAATATACATATATAGTACATATTAAATATACAATAGCATAGTACATATTAAATAGTACAATACTGCATAATACACAAAATCAGACTATATTTCTCAATACATACACATAAAAATACACATTAATCTCTTACCAAATAATGAAGTAAGTGTTGCTAAAGAATTAAAAAGAAATAAGTAATAACAATAGTAATATAATGTTTACTAAAATAAACTTTACTTCAAGTTACAATTTAGTTATTACAACATCTTTAGCTAGTGTGTATCAATAAATTAAACACCTTGAGCTTGTGTATCAATTAAGTAATAATCTTATATATATATATATAATATATATATATATATATATATATATATATATATATATATATATATATATATATATATATATATATATATATATATATATATATATTTATATATATGGTAGAGCGCTTGCTTCAAAAGCAAGAAGTTCTGAGCTTATTCTTCCCAAGGTCTCTGGTAATACCGCTCAACTTGTTTCTTTGTGCAGCGGGTGTGTTAGTCAAGGCTCGTGTTTCGGAACTAAAGAGTAAAGCACGGGTTTTGTTTTGATTTATAAACAAAGAAATGAGGTAAGTAAAAGGTTGATACATAGACCCAGTTGTATACTGTATAAATAACTTTTTTATTATTTGCATTAAGTAAAGAAATTTTTTCTTGGTCTTTACTAAACCACAATTATCGCAGTTCTAAACATGTGAAGCTTCAATATATATATATATATATATATATATATATATATATATATATATATATATATATATATATATATATATATATATATATATATATATATATATATATATATATATATATATATATATATATATATATGTAGTCCCATCACAAAAATATTATTGTAATATTTATACTATATTCAATATATTATATGTATAAGTATATGTGTATACTGTATATGTGTATGCGTCTAGTGTATATCATATACTCATATACATGTGTATGTGTATAGTGTATATCATGTAATGATGTTTAATTACCAAATCTTTATCTTAAAGCAACATGTGGCAATATTTGTGTTAGACAACAAAGTCCTTATGATTCAAGTCTGTTAGGAGTATTTAACATTAAATTTAGAAAAAGTTGAACATGTTGCAATTTTAAATGACAATTTTCTCCAGTGTATCTTGCTGCACTTGTTATAGCTTGTTGAAGTATGTACATATTTTTGTTCTTGTCAGCAAAAGTGCTTTATTATTTATTTTATTATTTATTATGTTGTGTCTCACGTGTTTTCTTTTAATAGTAACATTAATATATTAATATTATTTGTAATAATACATTCCATAGATAATAATTTTAAAAAATGACTTTGATCATTAAAATGACATTATCAAAATTGCTTTCGATGATTGTCATGTATTTAAAAATTGAATGTATTTAAAAATTGTATTGAATGTATTTTAAAAAAAAAATTTTATCATTTATTTGCATTTTATTTTTTGAAATACTTTTAGTATTTTTTATTGCTCTATATTTTAACATTTCTCAAATTTAAGTTTTTTTTTCGATTATCAAATATAAAAAAATGATCAATTGTAATTACACTTACTGCCTATAATTCCTATTTTTATATAATTTATTACTACATTTAGCATATGATTTATTTCTATGAGAACGATAAATAAGTTTTATTATATTGTTAAATTTATTGATGAAAAAAAGTTCATGTAAAATGCTGTTTTTCATGTAAAATGGATATCAATCACTCAATATATTTTTCGATAAAAGATCTTACAATCGAGGTCGTTTACAAATAGTTACAAACTAATCTTAAGTTAATACCATGAATTAGGATTGATAATACAAATAATAATAATAATAATGATAAATTAAAAGTTATAAGAATAATAAGAAAATTATATGATAATAAACCAGTATCAATTTTAAAACAACAATTGAATATAATGCACAGACAGGAAAGTTACATACAGTTATGTACTGACAAAACATAAATACTTACTATGCAGCTAAAACAATTACTGCAAAAAAAAGTAACAATATTTTAATTAAATTTAATAAAATAATAAAATTAAAAATATTTTAAATTTAATAAAATAATAAAATTAAAATTATAAATAATAAAAATTAAAAATATAAAAAAATAAAATTTAAAAGAATAATAAAATTAAAAATAATAATCTTAATATCAATAACCATAATAGAAACGATAAAAATAAAATAATTACTTCATTAAAAAATAACAATAAATAAACAAAACAAAAAATATTCAATTAAAACTATAGAGCTTTTATAAAAAATGACAATATTAAAATAAAAAATAAATCATATGAAGCAAACACATCGTCACTCCAGAATAACAAAATTTAAAAAATATTCTTTTTTATTTTTTTTTCCTTTTTATTTTTTCCTTTTTTTTCTTTTAATTTGTTTTTTAATTTTTTTTTAGATAACAAAATTGTATTTGTGGATGGTCCTTTAAGACTCACCACATTTACTATTAAAAAATGTAAAGATTATATGAATGATTAGATTGATTAGATTAACTCTGGTTAGTTGATTTATGTATATTTTTACAAATATATATATTTTCTATAGTATATTTTTTTGTTTGTTTTTTATTTTGAAGTATTTTCCTAACATTTTTTTACTATTTTGATTTTTTTAGTTACATATGACTAAATAAGAGAAAAATTATCTATGGCAAAAGTTTATTCAGACTTTTTTTCAATTAACGACAGTAAGACCTGATAAATTTAGAAGTAAACAGATTTCAGAAAACCTACCAGGTGATGATCATGATGATTGTGATGATGATATGATATACGTGATAATGATGAGCATATGTAATTTAGATGGTGATCATCATATCATGATGTTGGTTCATTTTCAGTATTTTATAGAAATGTATATTATCACAAAATTGTATATTTAAGTTCAGAAACTAACACTCCACAGTTACTGAAAGCAATTAGTTAGACAACTGATAGGATGGAGACCCATCCACTTCTATGGTATTGTATTTTATTGACTAGAAAGTTTTTTTTTAGTGAAGAATTTATTTAAAAAAGTGCTATTTAAGGGGACAATTTCTTAATTTACTTTTAGCGCTTTAATTCTAAAAAATGTGCATTGATTGAAGAAAAATGGACATATTTTATTGTTGCCTATTGAGATGATATCAACTTAGTTGCGTGCTGATCAGTTGCTGGATGAATTAAAGCTCTCATAGCTCCATAAATCAGTATATCATCATCAGTTGCATCTAATGCTAAAACTGAAGCACATAGTAAGCATTAGTCAACTGAATTTAACTGTTTCATTATTGTTAGTTTTTTGTTATTTTAGTTTTTGGGGTCTTAAGTGACATCCAATGGATGTTTATCTGTGAGTTTCTTGAAAATGTGAGCAAAAAAACACTTAATTGCATTGGTTAATAGTAATCTCTCAATTTATTCTTGGAGTTATTTTTATATAATTTTTTTTTCGATAATAATATGAACTTGTCTTATGTTTAAATATTGTTTTAAATTTTATATGTAGTGTTGTTTTGTTAAATACAATAGGGTTAAGGTGCAGAATATTTTAAAAAAAAGTTTTTTAATTATCCTAAAGTTTATATATCTGAGTGTAATGTACATTTTAATCATACATTTTAGTTTAATTGTTTACTATTTTTCACACAGTTTAACTTTGTGTAATTTAGATGCTGTAAAAATAAAAGCTTTAACCTCAGGAGCATCAGAAGAAGAGTTTAAACATTAACTGAAGAGATATTTTTTGCTTTTTGGGGATCAAAATGGCGGACGAGAAGCTCGAGAGGCACGTTCTTTGTATAAAAAGTTAATTACATAAATAACAATTTGAACTTTTAATAACATTTTTTTATTTCATTATTTTTTAACACACTTTTGGTTAGGAATAAATTTCGAAAATACTTATTTATTTTTTTCGATTTAAGTTGGAATAAATTTCGATAAGTACTTATTTGTTTGATTATGTGGCATGCGGGATAATACATTTGTACAGAAACAGCTAAAAATAACGTCCTAATGTATTAGTAAAAAGTAACGCTTTAGTAATCACACGCGACCACGAACAAATGTTGGAAAATGATCACGGATCAGTACCTGGTAATAGATAATGGGCCAGTGCTGGCAAATGATCCCGGGCCAGTGCTGGCAAACGATCGCAGGCCAGTGCTGGCAAACAATTGCGGGCCAGTGCTGGCCCAACGGCCGTTTCGATGCAGGCCCCTCGATCGGATCGACAGCCGTCATCGCGCCGTAGTCGCAAGCGGAACTGAGCCAGCATTGGACCGCTAGCGGGAGGGTGTCTGGGTTGTTCTTTCGCATTCCAGTACTCTATTGCTTATTTCAAAGTTTGTTCAATTTCGGAGAAAGTTTTTAAAAAATACTTTTTTAAAAACTTTTAGAAAGTGCTATTTTTATCTTCTTTTTATTTTGAATTAAACTTTGAAAATTTAGAACCCAACCGGCTTAGGTCCTGGAAATCGCCAACAAACGAATGTTAAAATAAAGGGTGTTAGAATTGTGAAAAGATAATGCCTGAAGTTGTTTTATTCTTAAGAAGACAAATAAACAAGTTTAATTTATTTTGTTGAATACTTTTTGAAATTTCCTGGATTTTAAATAGCGAATTTGTATAGTTCTTACTGTGTCAACAAAACTATTACTTAAAAATTTTGTTGAGTATTAATGAGTAATTTCGGTGAAATAAGAGTGAAATATATCAAGAGATAAACCACGTGAAGAGTGATATTAAGAGATAAACCACGTGAAGAGTGATATTACGAGATAAACCACGTAAAGAGTGATATTAAGAGATAAACCACGTTTTGACTTGTACTTGTACTTAATGTAACTTTGTAATATTGCAATAGAAAAGATTACTATAAATAAATGAAATATATATCATTTTCAAAGACTCAATATTAAGAAATGGTTAACTTTATATAAAATTGAAATATTTTTAGAGATTTGTTATCAATAGATTTCATATGATATTTCCATGATATATTTTCATCTACAATCACTCCGAGAAAGTTAACAAATGACTCTCTTTTAATAATTGTTTTATTCATAAAGAAGTTAGGTAATTTTAAATAAAGGTTATTTCCCCTAGTAGGTTTGTGAAATAAGATAAGTTTAGTTTTCTCAACATTTAATGAAAGTTATTATTTGTAATCCGGTCATTTATTTTTAATTACTTTTCGTTAGATACGCTAAGCAGATATTTTATGTTACTGATTGAGTAAAAAAAATCATCAGCAAATAAAATAACATTAAAAATTTTGGATGCTAAATATAAATCATTTGTATAGAAGAATAGCGGCCCTCAGAATGATCCCTAGAGAACGCTACAAGTTATAATATGTTTTTCTGTTTCATTTGCTGTATACATTATGTATTGTTTTCTATTTGATAGGTAACTTTAAACATAATAAGTTATTGTTTAGTATTCCATACAGCATTAGTTTTTTTTATAAGAATATGATGGTTGACAGTGTCAAATGGTTTTGACAAATCAATAAAAACTCCTAATGTATAGCAATCATTATTGAAACATAATTTAAATATATAATTTATTAGATTAACTACCGCATGATCCGTTGAATGATTCTTTTTGAACCCAAATTGTTTATAATACATTATATTGTTCTCAGTTAAATAATTATTAGTTCTATTATACATAATTCGTTCTAACAATTTTGAGAAACATGGTAAGACAGAAATAGGTCTATAATTAGACATATTTGTGTCATCGCCAGATTTAAAAATAGATATGATCTTAGCAATTTTTACTTTCTCCGGTAAAATAGCGGATTTCAGTAAAATATAATAGTGAAAGGTTCAAAATGTAAAACAGTCACGGTTCAATAATATTTCATTATATGTAATTAATGATATTTATCACTAATTTTATCTATGCCAGCGCATTTATTATTTTTTAGACAGTTGAAGGCATTTTGCAACTCGCTTATGTTTAATTTTACTTTTTTCATAAGTATTGGTTGATTTTATATAACATTCAAAGTTTGAGGTGTTTGTTTTGGAATTTTATCAGCTAGTGATGGGCCGATACCAAAATATTTTTTTAGCTTTTAAATTATAGTTTTTATAGATCATTTCCTTGTCAACTAAGAATTTTTGTGGCAAATTATTTTTTGGGCATTTTTTGTTAGTCTTGCTTTTTCCTCGCTTGCCTTTGTAGTTGTTCAAAAATAAAAGCAAAAGATGTCGAAATATTCTTTCATTTCAAACAGCATCAATGTTGTCCTTTATGATCCTGGCTGTATTTTTTTTTTTTTTTATTTACCTTTTTTGTTTTATTTTTTTTAATTATTTTTTTTTATTTAGGTGCTCCAAGAAGACCTAACGGTCTTGTTCTAGAGTACCGCGGAAGTTCACGCCTCCTTCTTTACTGATGTAGTAAAACTAAAACGGATCTCTTTCTTCTGACATAAGCCCACTACTACTACGCCATGGCTGCAGTTCTTTGAGAGCAATGATTAACAGCAGCGAAATGAAAAATAGCATTCTGAAATTATAGGTATAAGCCTTTGAAATTGCGGTATTTAATGGCGGAGGAAAGGGGTTCATTCTTTGACAGCTACTTTTACTTTAGGCTGTCATGAGAAGCAAGAGTCACAAATTTTCTGTGACCAATTGAACTAAGCTTGCCGTCTTTAATACACTAAAACCTAAAGAATTGAGGACTTTTATGTTTGCTCTTATTTAGACTGATAGGTTTTTGCCAAAAGTTTTTGAGCAATTTTACTACTTTCTTAACATTTTTCATCAGCTAGGGCTAGCACATTAAAATAAGGGTGCAGAAACTATGTGTATTGTTTGATAGATTTAAAGCTTGATACTGCGCAAATGTGATTATACTTTTTTTACTTATTCGTTTGCTAAAGAGTGAAACAAAAAATTGTTTTCTAAAAGTTATTTGTTTAGAAAAAATTATGCTTTATTAGTTATCAAAATCATTTTTTTTCATACTGGAATCCTTGTATAATATACTTAGGCATTTCATATTTTTTAGATTGATTTTTATTGATTGACATGGAGCAATAGAGGCTAGTTCAGCTTTAAGAAACCAGTAGTTTAGAAGGCAACCACAAAAGTTCCCACTTCATTAATCTCACGTTTTGATTGTTTTGTAAGATTGGCTATTGCACCCATTAAAAGTTGGAGCTTCAAGTAGTAGACACCAACAGATAAATTTATTTTATTATTAATGTGCATCAAATTCCTTCCTTTTGTCATAAAGCCACAATTTCCTACCTTTTTCCATGAAGTGGGCATGGGTGGACTGCTAGGGAGTACAAAACTTGTACTTACCCTCAGAAAGCACATAAATGTAAGCTTAAAGTAGCATTTCCTTGTAATCCCACCCAAAAAATTAAAGTAAATCATAATGTATAGGTTTTTGTGTAAAAAAGAGTAATAATTTCTTTTTATTTCACAAAAAATATACATGCCTATGTATATTTAATATGTACTATGTAGCAATTTCTATAGAATCAGGCAATCAGTAAATTCTATAGAACTTTCTGATTGCGAAAAAACAATTTTTTATTGAGAATAAATTACTTTATTTTAAATACTACATAGGTACCAACAAGTTTAGATATTGAGTTATCGGGCTACTTTTTCAGAGACCCACTGCTGATAATATTTTGATAAAGTTTCCTCAGGAATCCTCATTCTTCTTAACACCATTTTACTCAAAATTTAAAAGAAATTCAGGCACAAAAAAGGAAAAATATATATATTTGAGAAACATAGTATTTTACAATAATGGTAACCAATTCTACAAAACCCTACATAATTCTCTTTATCAAGATCATTCCATGGTTATTTTACTTATAAGCGTATGTTCTTTGTTTTAAGACTTCATATAAATACTCTCTTAAAAAAAATACAAATTTGACTATTTCATTTTTAGAAAATGTGATATAAACAACTTAAAATTAAAAAAAAATTTAAGTTTAAACTAAAAAACTTTTTGACATGAGTAAGCACCATAGATATGTACGTTACTACTATAAATATAAATAAAAAAAACTTTTTACAGTATTCTTTACAGGTTCATAGAATAAGCTTTTTACTAGCAGTAGAGATGTTTGTAGTTTTTAAGGGGTACTAAGGTTAACGCAAACATTGAAACATAAAGTCTAAATTTCTTTTTAGAATCAATAATTTACATTTTAAAATTATATAAAACATTTCCCTAATTCATGTTATTGCTTTCCTCGTCATTCAAATTGCCTTTATATTTAACGTTTGTTTTGGTTATTGTTGCTAGTTTAATCATTCTTGGTTTCATATCATTAACTCTACAAGATATATTGCTGCATGCTGTTTTTTTATTTTGTGGTAGACTGAAAATTCTTTAAAACCCTTTACTGTACAAATCCGTTTCATATCAATGATGTGTTTTTGCTGATTTGGACTATGAACGCGGAGTAACTGGTGTTAACAAGATATTTGCTGATGAATGTGTGCATATTTTCTTTGATGTACTTGTAACGTAACTTGAAGGTTCTTGCTCCTGAATTTGAGCCATACAGTTAGCAGCCTGTTGAAATTTATTTTGCTGCGTATTATTTACATTTAAACCCTCTTTAGATAACTCTCTTTGCAGCATTAGTTATAGTATTATGAAAAATATTGCTATGACAATTATATTAAGTAGTTTTTAAGCACTGGTATTTTCAACACTTCAGAGGTTTCCTATATTCAGTTATAAGATACCATTTTTTTTAATGTAGTTTTTTAGGCGTACCTACCTGTATATTGAAGAATGTATTGTTGAACCAATATTTCAAATATACGACTGTGAGTATACAAACACATTTGATTTACTAATGACTGATACCTTTAAATGGATTAATAAATGGAAAAAGCAAATTATGTAATTCAATTCAAATATAACATTTAAGGTGTTGACTCGATTGCTATAGTAAAGTTATAAATTATCAAAGAGGAGACAAAGAAAAGATGAATATTGGTTATTAATTTAATAAATTGGTATGAATTATTTAAGGACGTGGACTACAGTGGATTTTCTGGACATCAACAAAGCATGCCGTGGTGATGGTATAAGTCCTTGCGTACTTAAAAAATATTTAGGTAGTGTTGCAACTCCATTAGCTTTATTTTTAAGAAAATCAATTGAAGCAGTAAAAATTCCTAGCAAATTGAAAGAATCAAATATCACACAATATTCACGAATGGAAATACAATAAAACCGCTTAACTATAGACCCGCATCATTAACATCTTATAACATAGAAAGTTATGGAAGTATTTATAAAAGAAGCGATAATGACTCATCTCTTGGAAATAAATTGCTGTCAAAAGATCAACATGGCTTTGTAAAAAAAATAAAAAATAATAAATAAATAAAGTAAACTCATGTAACAAATTTTCTAAAAACATTGAAAATTTTAACAGCGTTTAACATTTTATATGATTTATATAGATTTTGCCAAAGTTTTTGATAAAGTTCCACAAAAACAACTGCTAAAAAAGAGCGAATCTTATGGTATCAAGGGTTTACTACTTAATTGGATATTGTCTTTTTTAAAAGAAAGAAGGCAACAAGATAGTTGAATGTCTTCAAAACGCGAGTAGATAAATACTTTTGATAACTTTTGTTTTAAGTTGTGTAACTATCAATAGCACGATGCTTGCATCGTGTTCCGCAATTTATATTATTTTTAAATATTTTATTATATTTAGAAAAATGTAATTGTTACAGCTATAAGTATTACTTAACCTTTTGACTGCTTGATAAAATTAAAAGATGTTTAGAAAAATTCAAATGAAAAACCCGAAAATTTTGAGATTTGTATGCCATTTTTCATTTTTCATCTACAAAATTTGTAAACAAAAAATTAAAGCCTTTATTATGTAAATATTGAATGATATTTAGGAAAACAATAATTTTTGCAACAAAGATTATAGTTTTAAAGATCAGTTTTAAAAGCCACAATCGTAGCTTGCCGCACTTCAGCGGAAAAGCCTTGATCGTGGCTTGCCGCAGTCAAAGGGTAGTAAGTAATAATACTATGTATTATACTAGGTTAAACTACTTTTCTTAATATAACCTGTGGAGTTTCACAATGTTCAAATCTTGGACCACTCTTTTTCCTAATTTTAGTTTTTTTTTAGTTTCAATTTATTAGTTTATTTCGCCGTTAAAAATATTTACTAAGTACAACAATATAAAAAGTACAATTGGCTGGAGCAAGAAGAAGGCATAAAATAGCCTTATCACCGAGCCCCAATAGTAACGCAAATAAATATCCGTAATACACAATAATCCGTAATATATAAGCAAAAGTATTTAAAAAAAGACAATTTAAAATGTTAAGAAACAAAGTTAAAAAGAAAAAAAAGAAAAAAAAAAAAAAATTAAAATAATTGAAGATAAATAAAAAAAATAAAAAGAAATGATTAAAATATAGTAATAAAAATGACAAAAATTTTCTGTTTTTGGTTATAAATTGGATGTGATTCGACTTATATATTTGTATATATTATTTTCTTTCAAAATAATTCAAAATTCAAATAAATAGCATATTATTTAATTTATATTAGTGATTTGAATAAAGAGTCAAAACTAATGAGCATTGTGTTTACAGACTCTCGAACAGTGATATCTTTGAACTTTTTGAAACAATAAACGAAGAACTCATACACATCTAACGGGTTCAAATGTAATAAAATAACCTTGAATACCAATAAAATAAAATGGATCTTATTCCATTCGCTTTTAAAAAAGCGGGTATTGCCATCAATATTTAAATCTTTGTTGATCAAATTGAAATAAAAAAAATATTATTTGTTTTAGTGAGATTTAAATACTTTTTATATGTTTAGCATATTATTTGTTTAATATGTAAATGATACAACGGGGCTATACGAAAGGCTTTTGTCTTCTGCTTGCTACCGTCACTTTAAAATTAAAACTTAAAAAACTCAACTAAAAAATATTGTAATTAATTTATCATGAAGATGACAAAAATTTATATTAAAATAAAAACAAAAAAAAATTCTGCTACTAAATTTTCAGGTGTTTTATCTAAATGAAAACGTCACTTGGAAACATCATATTGATTATATAAATACTTTAGTGTCTAAAAACATAAGAATTTTATATAAAGCGCGAATTAATCTCAATAAGAAAAATTTAATTCAACTTTATTATTCATTTATACACAGTTGTTTAAATTATTCTAATATTACCTGGGGAAGTAAAGAAAAAAAACAACGGCTTATCGCCGTCAGAAACGTGTACAATCCGTATAATAAATTTTGCGGGCCGCTTATCTCACTCAAAACATTTTATTGAAATGAAAATTCTAAATATGTACCAGCTAAATGTATTTAATGTTTTGTATGTATGTAGAAAAATAACGTATCCCTCTCCGTCTTTAAAAATCTTTTAATTCTTAAACCTATCAATAAATCCATTTTGAGAAATATTAATAATAAATTAATTATAAACCTTTTTGTGACACGAAGTTTAATCAATTGTATTGACTATCGGGCGTCATTCCTTTAGAATAAAATTATTTTGCCGAGTTTTAATTTTGCTTTACCTATGTATTTTTTTTGAAAAAACTAAAAACCTTTTTTCTTTTATTGTGAAATTCTATTTTTTTATAAAATTGTATAACGATAAACAAATGTAAACAACGACAAAAAAAAAAAAAAAAAACGCACTAAAAAACAATAGGTAGTGTTTCCAGTTACACACTAAAAATTGTTAAACAGATATTTTTATTATGTAACTGGAAACACTACCTATTGTTTCAACAATTTATTCCTCTTAATTAATTAAGATTATTCACTTATGATAATTAAATAGTTTAATAAATTTGAATTACCATTTGGCTTTCACAAAAATTACAATGCGGGAATTTTATCAGCCCTTAAGACTGATATACGTCGGGAAATATGGTTAGCAGAAGATAGTATGGCTTAAAACAAGGTTTAGAGTTTGAAAAAATGGGAATCAAACATCATAATAAAGGAGCTCATGTAAGAAGGCGCAGTTACATTTACTGATATAGGTTGAACATGCATGGGAGTCATGTTACGTCGACTAAGGGTTTGGGTAGATATAAACCAGTAAAAGAAATAGGACTCTCTTACATATTCGCAGTTGTATGTAAGATATATGATCTGCGTTTTTTGAAAACTCAAAACCTCATTTTGAGCCATACTATCATCTGCCTATTGAGAAATATAGTATTTTGTTTCGGTACAAAGGAATTGCGGCTTTCAACAATTTATTTCTTGATATATTTTGTAAGAATTATGAAACAGTAAAGGATCAAGACTCCAAATTTTAGGATCAAGACTAAAACAGTAAAGGAGTTTCGAGGCATAAATCTGTGTTTATTTGTCATTTGATTTTTTAAAATTCTGTTATAGTTTTGTCAAAAAGATCCATTTTAAATTTTGAACGTAATCAGAACTACACTAATTTTAGCACCAAAAAAAAAAAAAGAAAAGACACTCAACAAAAAAAAAAAAAATACTAATAAAGATTTTAACTTTTTATCGATAAACAACTGTTGCGTTAGACACAATTAAAGGTGTGCTAATCGCGATAAGTAGTTGCTCCTATCAAATTTGCCTAAATACACCGATTTTATTTTTTATTAGTAGCATAATCATTAAACAATCGTAATTTCCTCACCTAATGAATGTCTAAATATATAAATATTCTTAAAGAAGACTATTCTTGAATATTAAAAGTGACCTTACTCAAAAAAAGTATTCTTGAATATTAAAAAAGTGACCTTATAATAAAAATTATATTTTTATATATATGTATGTATATATATATATATATATATATATATATATATATATATATATATATATATATATATATATATATATATATATATATATATATATATATATATATATATATATAATAGAATACATTCTATTTTTTTTTTTCCTATTTTAAACTTTACTAGCGTAAACCTCTTTTTGTCTCGACAAAACATACATATTAAATGTACAATAATGCAATAAAATTCTGTAATATATGGAAAGGACAAACACACACAGATGTGTGTGTGTGTGTCTATATATATATATATATATATATATATATATATATATATATATATATATATATATATATATATATATATATATATATATATATATATATATATATATATATATATATATATATATATATATATATATATATATATATATATATATATATATATAAGCACACACAGGGCTCAATTTAACGGTCGGACATCGCCGCCACTTGGACCATTCTTGAGACTTGCTAAAAGAGGGCAACAAACCATTGTTGATATTTTCATTAAAAATGAACAATGGTTGGTTGCCTCCATAAATCAAATCTAAAAAAAAGTTCGGGGGACGGCAATGTCCGACCGTTAAATTGAGCCCTGATATATATATATATATATATATATATATATATATATATATATATATATATATATATATATATATATATATATATATATATATATATATATATATATATATATGTATATATATATAAATGTATATATATAAATGTATGTATGTATGTATGTATGTACAAATATACACATGCAAATAAATAAATTACTGTATTATACAAAATGTAGTTTTGTTATGAGCAGATGTTGATCTTATTGCAGAGTCATTATCATTGTAAGCAACAATATCTGCTTTTACAACTCTGTTTGCCTGTTCAACAGATTGTTTATGCAAACGTATTCCTAGAATATCTGCAGCAATTTTTTGAAAACAATAAGCAACTTGATCACCAGACTTAGCTGATAAAAAATAATTACTCATTCCATTTGCATTTGCAAATTCAATATGTTTTTCCTTTTTAACTGTTCTTAAATGTTCTAAATCTTTTTTATTGCCAACAAGTGCTAAATGGGGTTTCTTATCCTGGTCAGCAAATGTTTCCTTTACAATAACAAGCCAGTCACTTAAATTTTCAAAACTGCTGTAGTTAGTTACATCATAAACAAGTACAACTGCATTTGCACCATATAAATATGTTTTGATCATTTTACCACCTAACTGTTGTCCACCAATATCCCAAACTTGCATTGTTACATTTTTATTTCCTGGTAATGAAAATCTTTTTAAAAAAAAATCTAACCCAAGAGTCTGATGATAACTCTTATCAAATTGTTCTTGAGTCAGTCTGGAACAAAGAGATGTTTTTCCACAAGTTCCATCCCCAATTACAGTTACTTTAAACTGATAATCAGTAGTTTCTTCATCATCTGATTCAGACATCAGCAGATAAAAATACAATTTTATATTTGCAACTAATACCTAAATCAAATAATTCATATAAAGAGATAATTTACTTATAAAAACTAAATAGTATTATAAAAAAAACATGTTAAAAACCATTTTTTTCAACTCTTGTCTTATAACTACTTTAAATTCAACACTAAATGGGAAAATGCATGTTCTCACTAGATAATTAGTCGATGTGTGTATTGAAGCCCTCACAGCTGCCAATATCAGTATTGCATCTGATTGCTTAGCTAAATGTGGAATACTACTCCACATGTGTGTATATATATATATATATATATATATATATATATATATATATATATATATATATATATATATATATATATATATATATATATATATATATATATATATATATATATATATATATATATATATATATATATATATATATGTTGTTGAAAGAGACTTTTTTCTTTTAAAGTCTCTTTTAACTACAAAGTCTCTTTTAACTACAAAGTAAGGAGATATATATATATATATATCCTTACTTTGTAGTTAAAAGAGACTTATATGGTAAAAAAGTCTCTTTCAACAACATTTTAACAACTTCAACAATTAAGCTACAATTTAATGTTGTTTTAAAGTTAAAACAATTAAAATAATGTGGTAGTACATTAGGTTTAATTATTTTTAAAAAAACTGCAATAAAGACAAGAAAGTTTTCTTAATAGTGTTTTTGTTTAAAACATATTATTAAAACAAGCACAGAGTATTGCTACAAAGAATATATTCTATCCTGCTGCTACAAGGGAGTGTTGCTACATCGACTATCTTATAGCCTGCTTCTTCCAAGGGAGTGTAGTTACTCAAAAATTCTAGTTTTTAAACTTTTTTCTGGTCTGGTTATTAGCATTCTCTTTTAAATTACAGTTATATATATATATATATATATATATATATATATATATATATATATATATATATATATATATATATATATATATATATATATATAAAGAGAGAGAGAGAGATAGAGACAGAGAGAGAGAGAGAGGACGTAAAGGTTTGCTGTAAAGGTTGGACAAAAGTTGACCATATTTTTTTAACATTAATTTGACAAAAAAAATTAGTTTTTTTTTTGAAAAAACTCTGAGTTGATAGAGCAACACTCCTGAATGTTCTACTTATTTGTCAGTTATTGTAATAGTAAAAACTCTAAGTTGATAGAGCAACACTCCTGAATGTTCTACTTATTTGTCAGTTATTGTAATAGTAAAAACTCTAAGTTGATAGAGCAACACTCCTGAATGTTCTACTTATTTGTCAGTTATTGTAATAGTAAAAACTCTAAGTTGATAGAGCAACACTCCTGAATGTTCTACTTATTTGTCAGTTATTATAATAGCACTCCTCGCATGTTCCATCTAAATTCCTATTTGTCAGTTGATGTATTTACACTAAAAAAAATAAAAGTAAATAAAAATTGAAAAATAAAAACAGTGTAAAACATAAAAAAAATAAAAAGGAAACAAGTCAATTAAGTTTGTGTTTTTATGGTAATTTAAAGAAACGTTTATTTTCTAAATAATTTAGTAGTTTTACTTTTTAGACAACACGGGAGTGTTAGACGAAACCAAAAGTAGTTAAAAGAAATACAATTTGTTGTCAAAAGAATCATTTTTTACTTTCCATACTCTTAAAGCCAACAATATATATATATATATATATATATATATATATATATATATATATATATATATATATATATATATATATATATATATATATATATACATAAACAAGCACTACCTAAACAAGTTAACTTTTTATTTTAATCATTTAGAAATTTTGTTTTTTTTATTTTACACAATTGGTTTTTATTTTTGTCACTATTAAAGTTTATTTATAACTTTTAAAATCAATTAAATAACATTTTTTATAAACGCATATCATTTTAAACTTTAAATGTACAATCGATGATTGGCATGGCTGTATGTGCAAATAAAAGTGTCTCTGTAGAATCTTTTGCGTTTTGTTATACTACTAATTTTATTATTTATATTTTTATTATCACTATTTATTTTGAAGTTAAAAAAAGTATGCTTTTAATTTTCTGCAAGTTTATTACTAAACCAATAAGATAGAGAAATCATACTGTCAGCAATGTATAAGGTGACCAATGTTGTGGTTTTTACCACAACATTGGTCACCTTATTGTGGAAAATGCAATGAAAATTTTAATGTTTCACACCGTGCTCTTCTACGTAAAGACTGGACCCTGGTCACCTTAGTAATATAAACATTACTTCACAATGTTTACAATATTAAGAAAAATTGTTAAAAAAAAGAAAAAGAAAAAAAAAAGTGATTTAGGATGGTCTTTTGAGATACCTTACAAAAAATTTACTGTTTATCTGATATAATCTGATTACAGTTATATAAATGAAAATGAAACCAGTCTGTTACATTTGCCCTTAACTATCTGTTTTAAAACACCGCTCTAACAATTATAGACATAATATTATTAAAAAAATCTATAAAACAAAGATTAACACTTCTAAAAACCTTTCTTATTAACTAAAACCTTTTTTTTTTTTTATTTTTTTTTTTTTAATTCACCTCCTCAAGGCCGAGAAGGCCACTACAGACGAGGAGGCTACTTATTTGTGGCTATAACCCTCTCTCAACTCTATAACTCCGAAACACGAACCTTGACGAACAAGGCCGCTGCGCGGAGAAACGAGTTGAGCGCGGTACTACCAGGGACGTGGTGGGGATCTCAACCTCACAATTTATTCTCAACCTAGTTTATTCTACTTCTTATTAAAAAAAATACAGTTAATATTTTATACATATATATATATATATATATATATATATATATATATATATATATATATATATATATATATATATATATATATATATATATATATATATATATATATATAATGTAAATATTTTCATAAACAAGACAAATTTTCTAATTTTTAAAACCATTTTTTTAATAAAACACAATACATGCTTCGACTAACACTAGTCATCTTCAGTTAAAATTAAATATTTAATATTTGCTAAAATATCTATAAAGGTGTTAAAAAAAAACAATACAAAATATAATTATTCTTGTACAAACTAATAATAATATAATTACAAAAAATTTTATGTCATACAAAAGAAATAAGAAATAACAAAAGAATAGGTTAAAAAGATAGGCAATATGTATAAAAAATTGCAGCTAAACAGAAAGTGTCATTTGCACATGGTTAACCTGTTTATATATACCAGATTTTAACCATTCTATAAACATACAATTTTAACCATTCTATAAAAATACTTTCTTTAAGTCTTAGCTTTAATTTATTAGATGTCGAATCTAACACACAAAAACATTTTTCATTTATTTGCATGAAACAATTTTCATTAGCATGGAGATGTTTAAAGATATGAGACTTTTTGTCCCTCTTGTAATCTTCATATATCCAGGTCTTGAGATGGTGAGTAATTTTGCCTATATAACAGGAGTTACATCCTGCACATATGAATTTATACACCACAAACGATTTGAACTTTAGAGGAATAGGATCTTTAGAGGAAAAGAAGTTTTCAGTGAGGTAAATACTAATTCAATATTTGTTGAATGGCAATATCTTTTAGCAATTGAATTCAGTCTTTATTTAGTTGAATCAGATATTTTCCCCAAAAACGGCTGTTTAAAAAAGATTCTTTGATTTTTGGTTGGGGTGGAGGATTTGAATTAATCTTGTTTAAATAGGAGTTATATATTTTTGAAGTGATCAAACATAGGTACCTGTTTCTTTAAAATACTTTAAAGAGGATGTTTATGTCAGAGTGAAACCCAAGTTTAGTACTATTAATTTTAAATGTTCTATTGATTAAGAATTTGATTAGACTAACTCTGTACGAAAGTGGAGTGAAACTATAGAAACTAGCGTGAAGATCAGAATAGGTTTTTTTTTTAATGAAAAACGGTAGTGTTAACTGAAGAATTAGTTTTGTGTAGAGTTACATCTAAAAAAGATATTTTTAAATGTACTTCTTGTTCCATAGCAAATGAAATAGAATTGTGTTACTATTTATATACCTAAGAAAGAGATGTGCATCATTTTCTGACTGGAAAGCAGCACAAATATCACCAATGTATCTTTTATAGAAAAATGGTTTTACATCATTGAAATTTTTGATCCATTTATTTTCAAAATGACCCATGAACAAACTGGCAAGAACAGTGGAGAGCCCATTGCTACACTATCAATTTGATCATAAGTTTGTCTCTTAAAAAGAAAATGTGTTTGCGAAGTGGCAAATTGGAATAGTTTTTTTAAATCAGTTTTAGTAATTTTAATGTTTTTATTATGGAGCAAAATTAAATTGACTGCAATTTCAATGGTTTCTTGAAGTGGAACATTGGCGTATAAGCTTATTACATCATATGATACAAAAAAATATTTGTGGAGATTGACTTGACTAAACGGAACCTCTCGCTTATGAAGCGAGAGGTTCTGGGGTTCAATCCACACCAGATCCCTGGTAGTACCGTGCTCAATTCGTTTCTCTGTTTATTTCAAATTTCAGTGTTTATTAATGGAGATAATAAATCTCTAAGAAATTTGGTTAGTTGTTAGTTATAGGTCCAATAGATGATACAATGGGTCTAAAGTTCATGGCTGTCTCAAAAAAATTTAATTTATGCATCTTTGGAAGTCCATAGATACCAGCAGGATGGGATCCAGATCAATAAATTTTGTTAAATGTAGAATCATTAAAAAGACCTTTTGCTTTACTTTCCTCAAAAAATTTTGAAGTTGTATTTCTCTATTTATGGTAACATCTTTCTTAAGTTGTTTGAATTTTGTTTTATCATTAATAATTTTATAAATACCATTTACATTCTTTATTTACAGTTCTTTATTTAATATGACAATGCCGTTATCTTAATCAGGTTTTAAAATAATATCCGGATTACTAGATAGTTTTTTCAGTATTCCATGTTTTTTCAGAGTCACCTGAGAAGGACGATAATTATAAATATAAGAGTTTGCAAGATGGGAGAGCTCTGCTTTAAGTTTCCCAAAATCTTCATTATTTTTTAATTTTGTTTGAAGAAGACGATTATTTTGTTTGAACAAAAAAAAGATATACATCTATATAGGTGAAACTACTTACCTTTTCAAGACCCGGATATCTGAACATTACAAGATGGACAAAAAGAAAGTATTTTTATAGAATGATTAAAATCTGGTATGAATAAACAGGTTAACCATGTACAAATGACACTTCCTGTTTAGCTGGTTTTTTTTTATATACATATTGCTTATCTTTTTAACCTATTCTTTTGTTATTTTCTATTTCTTTTGTATAAAATGATAAAAACTTTTAATTGATTTTATTGTATTTTTGTAATTATATTATTATTAGTTTGTACAAGAATAATTATATTTTGTATTGTTTTTTAAACACCTTTATAGGTATTTTGATAAATTTAAAATAATTAATTTTTAATTGAAGATGACCAGTGTTAGTCGAAACTGTTTTTTTTACTTTATTGTTTTTCATTTAAAAAAAATGGTTTTAAAAATAGAAAATTTGTCTTGTTTATGAATATATATATATATATATATATATATATATATATATATATATATATATATATATATATATATATATATATATATATATATATATATATATATATAATATATATATTATATATATATATATATATATATATATATATAATATATATATATATATATATATATATATATATATATATATATATATATATATATATATATATATATATATATATATATATATATATATATATATATATATATATATATATATAAGTAATACTTTTACATTATCAATAAAAAATATAGCAATAAAAACAAAAACAACAACATTAGTAAAAACCACAACGAATTAAAAGACAACAAAGAAACAATGCAAGAAAAATAGTTTTTTGACAGAAAAAAATCAAATTACAATGTTTTTTTTTTTACTTATGGAATATTTTTAACTATAACCTATAATAAAAAAAGGAATAAGTCATTTTCAGAATTCTTTAGAATACCTTAGAATTATCGATGGTAATATTCAGACGTGTTTACCTACCGACGTGAATGGTTTCCATTTATAGATTTTAAAACACAGAAAAAAGATTATTGCTTATCGATTTTTTAATAAAAAACGGACACAATAATTAGCTTTAAACTTCTATTTTTTGAATTAAACTCAAGTTTTTTTATTATTAAAAATTAAAAAATTAACACTTTTTTAATAATAAATTTATAATATATGCAATTTAAAAGGTTATAATGTAGAATTATTATATATTTTTATAAGTCAGTAAATTAAACTATGACGTGTAGCTTATTATAACTAATATGCTATACTTTACAATAACAATACATGAACAGTAAAACTCCTAGGTCTACTTAAAAATAGAAATTATGTTGACTAAATTTGAAACTAAATCTGCTCGAGTAAAAGGTGCTTTTTTATTATTAGTTACGGTTAATATAACAATAATATTCATGTGGAAAATAAAGATTTGTTAACGTAAAGCTGTTTTTATAAAGAAGATTATTGTTCTATTTTTTACATTTTTATAATATAAATATATAATATAATATATATAATATAACTTTGCACACAGTGATATTAATCACTTCATACTATAATAATATTTAATTTGGTAAAAAAAATCTTTATCACAAAGCTGACAAAGTTTTTTCGGAAGTCTATCATCGAATGTCTATGAAACTGTTATCAGCAATCATGGATCTAATTGAATTCTTATTATTCAGTCATAAGTGTATTAAGCAATAATAAACAATAATAATAGCGATAATAATAATATAATGAAAACTAATAATATAATAATGCATAAGTAAATAAATAATATATAAAAATTATTTAAGTAAATAATTAGTAATATAATAAATAATGAAATACAATAAGAAAGCAATTTTATAGTAATAAAACATTTTTAGCAATAATAAGCAATAAACATAATATAATAAGGTTACATTTTAACCTTTAAGACTGAATTGGATGGTAGTTTTTTTAAATTCTTACCAAAATAATAGTATAAGAATAAGTAATAAAAACTAGCATTCAATATTATATTTTTATATTTTATAAGAAATATTATTTACTGTATTATTACTAATTGTTTATATAAAAAATTAATCCTTCTGAAAGATTTGTTATTATTGTTATTATTATTTTTATTATTATATTATTGTTATTATTATTATCTTATCATCTCCTAAACATTATTCCTATTCAAATAATTTTATTGAATATAATTACCACACACATACAAACACACAAACTTCATTATAGCAACTAATGAGGGTTGGTACCTAATTAAAAAATTTGTATAATAATTAAAAAAAAAACTAAAAAAAAAGTTTAATTTAAAAAAAATTTTTATAAAAGTTTTTTTTAAATAGCCAAATTTATTAAGTAGTATGTTTTCGGATCATGATTTTGTTTCTATCCCAACTTTGATTAAAATTTTTTTTAGGTCTTGCATTTCATTCTAAACGACCATGGGTTTTAGCAAGTTTACACAATGGTGTGATACAACTCTGGGATTATCGAATGTGTACTTTATTAGATCGATTTGATGAGCATGATGGTAAAATTTTAATTTTTGAAACTTGATTAAAAGTTTATCAGACTTATTTCTATGATATCTTATTGTCACTAAAATAAAGGATTCTAATTCAATGATTTTAAGTTAATTTTTTTTTATCTCTCTTTCTTAATTATTATGTTTAGGCCCTGTACGTGGAATTGACTTTCATGAAAATCAACCATTATTTGTCTCAGGAGGTGATGACTACAAAATTAAGGTATCAATATTTCTATTGACGAAGTTTAAGTTATTAGAGGTTTGACTTATTTTTAATAATTTAATAGCAATCAATTAGTTGATTTAAATGGACCAAATAAAACAGTTGGAGATAATAATAGTTCAAGTTAACCGGGAATTAATTTGTTATATATATATATATATATATATATATATATATATATATATATATATATATATATATATATATATATATATATATATATATATATATATATATATATATATATATATATATATATATATATATATATATATATATATATATATATAAAGAGAGAGAGAGAGAGAGAGATACAAAGTGGATGACTCATTTTGAAAAACTGCTAAATAAAGCTTTTTAAAAAAAAATTTAAACTATTTAGAAAAAAATTATTTATCTGCAGTAAATAAGTTTAGTGGACCAGCAGTGCTAATAACCTGTAGTAGAGTAAAATTTATTCAGCTATTTAGGGGGCTCAGTTAAACTAGTTTGCTGCCCCTTCATCATCAGACACATTCATCATAGTGAATGTGTCTGATAGGGTGTATCAGGAATGATCATAATGGTGTGGGTGTAAAAGTGTTGATAATTTGAGGTATCAACATATAAAGTTAAAAGTATAAAACTTAAAAAGAATGATAAAAAAAAGATAATTTGAAATAATTTCAATTACCCTTTCACTCCCTGTAAAAGTTTTTTTATAGGGAGTGAAAGGGTAATTGAAATTGACTGAACATAAAATGCTATGATAAATTTAACAGAATTTCACAAATAAGACCTCATCTATTAATAAGGACGCAAGTCTTATATGACCACACATAATATCTCGTTTTGACAAGCTAGGGCTCTTTGCAAGTTTTGATAATTAGCAGCTTTAATAAGTGCGCTAAAAAAAAAAACAAAGCAAACTTAAATTCAAATAAATAATCCATAAACTGAAAAGAGGATAAAAACTTAAAAATGATACAAAAAGTTAAACTAAAAAAAAAAATCTTAAAGAATGACAAAATAAATAGCAGAAAAACCAGAAAAAAAAATAAAACATTATTTAATGTAAACTTAATTGTAAGTGAAAGTTAAAAAAACTTATCACAGCTCTATCAATCTTTATCATTTCCTCTGAAAATTAGAGAAACTTAAGGAAATGATTTCATCCAAACTTCTGATTGTGTCAATATCTTTTTAAAACAAATGATGCGATTTTTAATTTAATTGATTCCATAATTACAATTTAACTGCTACAAAATTTCCTGAGTATTTTATTGCATTTTTAAAAGTGCTAATTGTTAAAATTTGCAAAGATCCGTAAGCAAGTTGTCAAAGCTAAGTTTATACGCGTGGTTATATAAGGCCTGCGACCGCACGCTTCTTACGCGATGGCCTGCTACAAATTTTTTTTTGAAAATCTAAATATTTTTTCAGCTTTGGTCATATGATCAAATGCTGTTTTGGGATTGAAAGGATTAGGGAAAGAATATGCTTAGGATTATGAGGTTAAAGAAACGGTAGTGTGACAATTATTCAACCTGTGTAACCCTGAAAGCAACACAATACAATGAATAATGGTTTTATTATTTTTTCAGTCTTAGAAAAAAATTTATTGTAAATATTTTTTTAGGTTTGGAATTATAAGCAGAAGAAATGCATATTTACATTGCTTGGACATTTAGATTATATAAGAACAACATTCTTTCACCATGTATTTTTTTTATCTTTTTTTTTTTTTTAATTTAATTGTATTTTTTCTTTTTGCATTTGTAGATATGAACAAATTTTTCTAAATAAATTTTTTTTTCAAATGTAGGAGTATCCTTGGATTGTAAGTTGCTCTGATGATCAAACAATACGTATATGGAATTGGCAATCAAGAAATTGTATTAAGTGGGTCAAATAATTTTTGTTTACTAAAAAAATTTATAGTTGATCAATGATATGTTTTTGTGCGACATAAAGAACATAAAACAAGTCTTTTTTTTTTTTTTTTTTTTTTTTTGTTATTCACCTCCTCAAGGCCGAGGAGGCCACTACAGACGAGGAGGCTACTTAATAGTGGTTATAACCCTCTCTCAACTCTATAACTCCGAAACACGAACCTTGACGAACAAGGCCGCTGCGCGGAGAAACAAGTTGAGCGCAGTACTACCAGGAACGTGGTGGGGATCAAACTCGGAACCTCTCGCTTATGAAGCGAGTGTTTTACCACTACACCACTACCGCATTTACAATCACATTTACAAATACAGTTAATTAGACGGTGTAACTGTGAATTTGAACTTTTAAATAAACTTTGATTACTTTTGAGAGTTAAGCTTTCAAATAGTTATTTACACTTCACATAAGGATTGCATTGTAGAAATAATGAAGTGTTTCCAATTTTTTATTTTTTTTTAAATTAACTTAATCTATTTATTTCAAGTTTAAATTTAAAAAATTGAATTTGTACAGATATTATTACTAGTTTTTTAAAACATATTTTTAGGTGAAAAATAATGCTATCTGTACCAATTTAAGTTTTAATTTTTTTATAGTGTTTTAACTGGTCATAATCATTATGTGATGTGCGCTCAATTTCACAAAACTGAAGATTACATTGTTTCTGCTTCTCTTGATCAAACAGTACGAGTATGGGATATTTCCGGTAATTTTTACAATTTGTTATATTTGTTTTATTGAATTTATTTGTTGAATTTTACTGAATGAATTTGTTGTAGGCTAAAAAGTCAGCATAATATACTCCACAATCTAAAGTTTCAATAATTTATTCAAGCACATTTTATTTCAAAGAGTTTTAGTACATGACCTCATTGATTTTTTTGTTTGTTTATATAATAGATCTTTAGACAAACAAGTAAATCAATGATATCATGTATGAAAATTCTTAGGAATAAAATGTGCTTGAATAAATTATCAAGTCTATAGATTGCAGTGTATATTATGCTGACTTTTTGGCCTACAACAAAACAGAGAAAGCAAGCTTTGAACTAAATAAAAAAGTTAGTTTTTCTTGGTATACATTTATTCTTTTGTTTTAATCAAAAAAGTTTAGTCCAAACATTTTTTTTATCGCTCGCTTTAATATGAACACAACATGTCTCGGAGGTTTGGGATCTCTTTAAATAATGATATATATAAACAAAAAATAGTTTTTTATTAGATCTTTTTTGAAAATCTGTTTTGTAAAAATTAAAAAATATTTATAAAAATATGAGAAAATAATAAGAACAATAAAATAATTTTTAAATAACATAGTTATAACAGCAATAAATTTTCTTATCAGTTGTTGCTTATAGAGAAAATAATAGAGAAAGCAAATTGTTGAAGAAAAGTGCTATTAGAAAAAAATATTTCGGTAAAATAATAATAAGATTTTGATATATCTGTATATTGATCTTTACTTTTGTTAGTACTTCAGAAATATGGAATGACATTTTCACTAACACAATTTTTTAAAACCAGCGTAAAAAATTCTAAAGATAAAAATTGTTTTCTCATTGCTTTATATAAAAATCATGTTTTTTTTAAAGCATAATTTTTATATAAAGTTAAACAAATGTGTTTTAATAACTAAAACGAAATACTTTAATTTAAGTTTAATAGGAAACAATTAAAAAGATTTTAATAATTGGTCGTATTTAAATGGTTACTTTTATTTTGTTTAATTTAAACTAAATAATACTATATAGCTTAGCAATAATTGTAATTGATAATAAAAAACATTATTAATATTGTTGTTTTTCATTAGTTAATAAAATTATTTACTAATAAAAAGCATATGACTATCTGTTAGTGAAAATGTGTAATTTTAATGAGTCTTTTTAGTAAAATTTTTTAAATTGCTAAAGGTCTGCGAAAGAAATTTGCTTCACCTGGTACAAAAGATCGTGATGATACTTCAGTAAAGAATCCTGGGCAAATAGATTTATTTGGACATGCAGATGCTGTTGTGAAGCATGTGCTTGAAGTAAGTTTTTTAACTTTAATATATTTAGCATATATATGTGTTTTTTTTTTTTTTTTTTTTTTTTTCTTTTGATTTTCTATTTTTTGCAATAGATTTGTTTTTGATGTTTCAGCATATCTTTTATAACTCGCTGATTTTTGTTTGTAGTATAGTTTAACTACACATCGTTTTACTAACTTCTATGATTTTCTAGTTGTTTTAGTTCATTTTAATTTTATCCAATTAGATGTTTATCACATTTAATCAATTCAATAAAAAAAGTATTTTCCAACACACAAAGAAATGTTTTTTTTTTTTTAACATAGTGTTGTTTAAAATATTAACATAATAACATCATTTTATCATGTTGAATGATACGTTACATTGCATAGTTAAAGTGTTGTTGTACAATGTCTGTACAATGTTATATTTGATTTTAGATTTCTAATTATATAAAGTTACTTATTTTATTTATAAATTATTTATTTGAAGTTGTTCACTATACACATAACTTAAAACTATAGGGTCATGACCGCGGTGTAAATTGGGTTACGTTTCACCCTACAATGCCATTAATTGTATCTGCAGCTGATGACCGCCAAGTTAAATTGTGGAGAATGAATGGTAATCAGTTAAATGTTTTTATACAATATTTGAATTTTTTTAATAGTATAGTCCCTATTGTCAAATTTGTTTTGTATTTTAGTTTCAGTTAGCTAACCAACTTTTTTTTTAGAATCAAAGGCTTGGGAAGTTGATACTTGTCGTGGGCATTACAATAATGTTTCGTCTGTAATATTTCATCCTAGACAGGAGCTAATTTTAAGTAACTCAGAAGATAAATCAATACGTGTCTGGGATATGTCTAAGAGGTTTGTTATACAGGTGCCTAAATGATATAAATGTTTAATAATCACCAAAATGAATTTTTTATTCAGCTACGCAGGTTTAAACTTTTAAAGTTGAAAATATTTGATTTTCTATAATCTATTTATTTGTTTGATTTTTCTGATGGACTTGAAACATATTCCTTATAATAGAACTGGAGTTCTATCATTTTTCTATATAATTATAATCCTTCACTGAGAAAACTATTTTTTTTAATAATAGAACTGGAGTTCAAACATTTCGCAGAGAAAATGACAGATATTGGATACTTGCTGCTCATCCAACTCTTAATTTGTTTGCTGCAGGTTTGTTTCATCTTTACCATTAATTTTCAGTAAATAATTTTATACTTTATTGCTTTTATTTGTATTTCTTTATTACTTTATTTTACTAAACAGTTCTTCACAAAGTTTTCAAGTGTTTAACAAATGGTTAAATATTTAATTAAACAATATGACTAAATTTAGATATTTGGTTGCACTTATCTGAACTTATTTTGTAATTTTTTTATTTTAATTTAGGACATGATAGTGGTATGGTTGTTTTTAAACTGGAGAGAGAAAGACCAGCTTATACTGTCCATCAAAATACTCTTTATTATGTTAAGGTATTAATTATAGTAATAAAAATAATTATTTATATATATATATATATATATATATATATATATATATATATATATATATATATATATATATATTGTATATTATATATACTGTATATTATATATATTGTATATTATATATATTGTATATTATATATAAATATATGTATATATAAATTTTTTTAAATAAATATATACCAAGTTCATTTATTGCTATTTTAAGCTGTTTTTCTCATCATTCATTTGGATAAATGAATAAATGTTAAATTTGTTATAAATTTTTTGAATACAGGATCGTTACTTACGAATATATGAATTCGGATCTTCCATTGATAAGCCAATAATGCAGTTTAAAAAGTACTATTTATAATTTTTTTAGTTTAATTTCTTACTAAATTTAATTTAATTATATCTTTATTGTAATCTATGCTTAACCAAAGTTAATTAGATATTTTCTATTTTAGAGGTGCTGGTCGACCAAACCCTGTTCACTTAGTATATAATCCAGCTGAGCAATGCATTCTTTTGACCTATGTTAGTAACTTTTACTGTTATATATATATATATATATATATATATATATATATATATATATATATATATATATATATATATGTATATATATATATATATATATATATATATATATATATATATATATATATATATATATATATATATATATATGTATATATATATATATATATATATATATATATATATATATATATTCACTTATTGTAAAAACATAGAGATTATCTATCTGTCTGTGGACATTTTTGTTTTCCAAGGTAAACTTGAAAATTATACTGCATAGAGAAAAAATAACAAATAAACTTTTTTTTTTAATCCATCTGAAATGGATCTTAGCAAAACAGAATTTAGTTTATTTAATAATGATTTATGACCATTTTAGTTAAAAAAAAACTTTTACTAAAAAAAATTTATTGCTGTAATTTTTATTTTGTCAAAAACTTTTAATCCGGTTTGCTACTACTTTTTATTTTACTTGCACTTTTTAGTTACGAACTTATGCAAATTACAGTTATATTTTAAATGTAATTATTATATGAAATGTATATAAAATGCAATAATATAATATATCCTATAAAAAAATACAATAATATATATCGTAGAAAAAAATGCAATAATATATGTCGTTGAAAAAAATGCAATAATATATACCGTAGAAATAATAAAATATAGTCAAAATTAATTTAAAGCTTTGACTAATTCTTCCTGCGATTGCGAAAGAAAAAAATTGTAAAACTCTTTTTCCATACATAAGACTATATTTTTATTTTTTAGGGTACAAGTTCTTCAGTTGACAGTCAAGTCTATGAGTTACATGCTCTTCCTAAAGATATAAAATCTTCTGATCCTGAAGGTTTTTGTTTATTTTTTTGTCTTGTTTAATATTTTGTCTCGAAGTACTAGGTAATCACTTTTTTTTTAATGGTTACTGTTAGTTGAAAATAATTATTGTACACTAAGATTTATTATTTTTTTAATAAATTCTAGTATAATAAGTAATGCTGAAATTAATATTTCAGCATTCCTTATTTATACTAGAATTTTTTAAAAAAAAAAATAATTATGCACCTAATTGTGCTCTTGTTTAAAATTAGACCTTTTATTTTATGACTCATTTTATAGGTCTCAGGTTTTTATTCAAATATCAACTATAAATTATTGCTTTAGTTAATATTTGCACAATATTGTTTTTTACTTTATATATATATATATATATATATATATATATATATATATATATATATATATATATATTTTTTTACAACAGTGTCTGAAGGAAAAAAAGCTGCTGGTATATCAGCTGTATGGGTAGCTCGTAATCGTTTTGCCGTTCTAGATAAACAGCAAAATGTAAGTAACAAATCTTTAATGACTGGTTTGATTTAATGGACCCAGCTCTTTTAAAGATTTCAGATTAAAGAAATTCTAAAAGGTTAAGTGTTTCATGCTTTTTTGGCATTCAAAGTACTTGAAATGCAGTAGTTGCAGCTGCTGCAATACTATTGAATAGCAGCTATAGTTTAATAATAGGCGAATCTTAGTAGAACTTTTTAAAAGCGCAAAGCAAATTTCTGAATGATATAAGTAAAAAAATTAAATTTATAAACAAAAATATTTATAAATAGAATCAATGTTTTGTTTATAAATGTTTATGTTTATAATTTTCATATGTTCACTTTTTACTTAAAATCATATAGTTTGGCAAATTCTTTTTTAATTATACTCAGGTTTTTTATATTAATATTACTCATCTTAAGTAATAACATTAAATCAAATAAAAGTTTGAAAAAGTAAGCAGTTTTTTCTTGATTGCAGTGGCACCCTAAGTCTTGATGTGTACAAAAGTTATATTAATAGTTTTAATTTTAACTATATCTATAGGTAACCTACATATATCTATATATTTATAGGTAACCTACATATATCTATATATTCATAGGTAACCTACATATATCTATATATTTATAGGTAACCTACATATATATATACCTATCAGTTTAATAAAATTTAGTATAGACTACATGCATGATAGAATAAAAAATGATTATCACTAAAGAAGATTTAAAAAAATATATGTTAACATTAAAATATAATGGTACTGATTTTCAATAAGTCAGATATGTTTGATTTCTCTCAGTATAATATAAACTTCAATTTTTGTTACTTTAAATAAAACCAGTCCAAAAATTTACAAAAATAAAATTTACATTATTTAAACTGTGAGTGAAGACAAAATTATGCTTGTGATTTATTTCCAAGTAATTACTCCAAAAAAATTTTTCAAAGACATTTTGAAAATATATTTTCAAAATGTCTTCAAATATTTGAAAATAAATTAATAATAGTACTTTCAAATTTTCTATGAAGAATGTTTTTTATTGGTTTTGGAGTTTGCTTTTATAACTATTTTGTTAATTCTGCACAATTTTATGAACAGTGAAGATTTTGTGTTTCCAGGTTGTCATTAAGAATTTAAAAAATGAAGTGACAAAAAAAGTTACAACTCCTGCTTGTGACATGATATTTTATGCTGGTACAGGAAGTTTACTACTAAGGGATGCTGAACAAATAATGTTCTTTGATGTACAGCAAAAGAGGTTAAAAACACTTTGTAATGATATTGTAAAAATAACCTTTTTTGAATATAGTATAATGACTGTTTTTATTATTTTAGAGTTATGGCATCAATTAAAATAGCCAAGTGCAGATATGTTGTTTGGTCATCTGATATGAATTTTGTTGCACTAATTGCTAAACACAGTATGACAGTTTTAAATACAGTTTGAACATAGTTGTAATATATTTTTTATTTATAGAAATAAATTTTTAAACAATTTTTTATTCAATTTTTTATTTGTTTTTCTATATTTAACAAAAAACTTATCTATTTTTTAGCAATTTCAATTTGTAATAGAAAAATGGAAAATTTAAGCTCAGTTCATGAAAGTGTGAAAATCAAAGGTGGTGCATGGGATGATTCAGGTGTATTTGTATACACAACTAGTAATCATATTAAATACACATTAACAAATGGGTAGTTAAATATGTTTTTTTTAGTTTTGATTTATAGAGAATTATTTTTAAACTATTAATTGAACTAAATATAAATTTTTATTAAATGAATAAAAAAAGTCTTGTTTCTGTAGTGATAGCGGCATAATAAGAACATTGGATTTACCAATATACATAACTAGAGTGAAGGTAGATATTTAATATTTAGTTTTTTTTAATTTTTAGATATTTAATATTTAGTTTTTTAAATAGATATTTAATATTTAGTTTTTTAATAATTAGTTAAAGCTAATTAAATTAAAAAAAAAAACTTGGGAAAAGTGTGTTGTTGCATTATATTTTTGGATGAAAAAGTTGTGTTACTATAGACAATTTTTTTTTTTTTTTTTTTTGAAGTGCAAATAAATTGTGTTTCAATATTGTAATATTCTTTTAAACCAAAAGTTTGAGAATTAAAAGTTAAAAAAGATATATATATATATATATATATATATATATATATATATATATATATATATATATATATATATATATATATATATATATATATATATATATATATATATATATTTATATATATATTACCAAATGGTCATAATAGCATAAATTCAAATAAATATAACAATTTTTTTCAGTTTCAGCAACATGTTTCGATTATATAATAATCATTTTCATGTATAAAACTGTCAAATACAAAAACTATTTAATATATAGCGAAAACAAACATTAATTTAATTTTATTCATCAGTCAAACAAAAGAAAATATGAAAGGTGTGAAAACTACGTCATAGAATAATAGAAAATGTAGATAATTATTGTGATACATACGTCATAGAGTAATAGAAAATGTTGATTAGAGCTGGAGTGATAGTGTGTAATTAAAAAAATGTGTAATGCTTCCTTGATTTTTAAGTGATGTGAAGTTTGGGCATAGTCTAATACTGAAAAAGAGTCTTTAATGGCTACATTAAAGCTACTTGTTTTTGAATAAATATGTTGATTTATATGAGAAGTTTTTTTGTAATTTTAAATGTTCCTCAATTCTTTTACTCAAATGTTGAGTGGCTTGACCCACATAACAAGCATTACAGCTTTTACACACAAATTTATATATGACATTTGAGCAGAGATGTTAAGAAGTTTTATCTTCGGTTGAAAAATATGTATTAATTTTTAAGGATGAAAATGCCAATTTAATATTAGGAGTTTTACAGTGTTTTTTTGCATAAATCATTTATTTTGTTTTGAAATTGTTTTGACATTTTACCAATATACGGCATTTTAAAGTAATTTATTTTTGAGGAATCAACAACTTCTTTATTTTCTTTTTTATATAGTCATTTTAGGTAGGTTTTTAAAACACAATCAATTAGTTTAATCTGGTAAAGGTTTTTTTGGAAAATATGTTTAAGTTTAACTAAATCAGAATATAAATTAGACCATCTGTTACTAGTTTTTTAAATCCTATTTATTAAGGTTTTATCATGCCAATTTTGTATGAAATATTGATAAAACTTCAGTTATTTGTTAATAGACCTGAGAAAGTCTTTTTTCTAAATATGCTGGTAGTTAAGTTATAATTGTTGTCAATAAAAATATCTAAAAAAGCTAATTTTTGAATTCTTTTTCCATGGTAAAATTACAATTTTTGTGTTAATGATTCATATAATTAAAAAATTTAAAAGAATCTGTCTCTTTTCCAAATAAAAATATCAGCAACATACCTGCAATAAAATAAAGGTTTGTTATCTGTGTAGTTAAATAAACTTATATTTTCCATATGATTCATAAATAAATTAGCTAATATAGGAGCAAGAGGGGACCCCATAGCTATACCCTCACATTGTTCATAATATTTGTTAATAAATAAAAAATGATTTTTTGAAGTGGCAAATATGAATAATTCATAGAGTTTTTATTAATTTTGAAATTAGGATTATTATCAATAATAAATTTTACAGCTAATTCTAAAGTTTCTTGTAATGGTATACTTGTAAATAAATTTTCAACATCAAATGACACCATATATTTATTTAAAATGCTTACCTTATTTAAATCCTGAATAAATGTGAAAGAATCTTTTGGAGACGATTCGGTGTTTATGTATGGTTTGAGAAGATTACAAAAAAATTGTGCAAGTTTGTAGTTATAAGAACCAATGGAAGAAACTATAGGTCGAAAATATTATAAATTGAGTCAAAAAGTTTACGAGTCTTAGGTAGACCATAAAGATGAATATCAAAATATTGTGTTTCAGTAAAGAATTTTTTGTCATAAAGTTTTTTTAATTTTCGTTGTAATTGTCCTTCTCCCCTTAAGATCATATCCGTTTTTAATTCAGTAAATTTAGATTTGTCATTAATTATTTTTAACATACAATTTATCTAGTCTTTTTTATCCATTATAATTACACCATTTCCTATATCTAGTTTCAGGATCATTATTGGCAAATGTTTTAGTTTTTTAAGTATCGAGGCAAGTGTTTTAGTTTTTTAAGTATGTTAAACATGTATACTTTGATTTTTCAACCGAAGATAAAACTCCTCAACATCTCAAGTTCAAAGTGTGTGTTCAACGATATGCAAAATAGCCCATCCACCTTTTAAATTAGCTTATTCAAATTTTGCTATAGGTGCATTTTTGCTATATTTCGAGGTCTCCATTGATTGATGAATAACTACTATTTATGTTTCCACTTTTAAGAGAAAAATATTTTAATATGAGCTAATTTGATCTACAAACAAAAATGTATAATAAACAAAAATAATAAACAATAAATAATTTTGTTCAATATTAAATAAGTATTGAGTACAAGAGTTGATATTATCTAAGTGATATAAGACACTATAGCATTTTCCAAAATGATTTTATCTCTTTATTTATCAATTTATTTTTCTTTCAAAGAAAAATAAAAAGCCTGAAAATTTAAAGATTCCAAAGCCTGAAAATTTAAAGATTGATTTCTTCTTTCTGACATTGTGGCAAATATCATTTGAATACCATTTTCAATGATATTCAGAAACTTTAAGACCTTTCAAATTTTTTCCCTTTGAAGACAGATATGAGATAAAAGATAACGTAAAATGCTTTTATGATTGTGAAATTTCTAAATTATAGAACTTCAGAAGTTGATTTGATTTCTTCCAATGCATCAAACATTAGTGCAAGGTTTTTAAAAAAATGACATGCTTTCAAGTTTCTGTGCAAGGCTTTTTTCCTTTGAGTCTTATTTTGGATTAATTGAAACATTTATGAAATGCAAATGTAAGGCTTTAAAGTTGTGCAAAACGGTCTTTACAGTTTGAAATGATGAGGTAACCCATTTTTTACTTTAAACTTGCCTAACCTTAAGAAGACAAACTTTCATCTCAACTGCTGCTGCAGAAAGCTCTCATTCTTGTTTTTTGACTACTGAATCTGTATAGAGCATAAAGAGTATCAACAAAACGATTGAAATAGTTAATTGCAATGCATGCTTTAACTGCAACGCTAACAGCTGGAACAATACAATGATTCAAGCAATCCCATCCAACTAGCCATGGAAACTTCTGCTTCAATTATTTAAAGACACCATTATTTTATCCAGTCATAACAAAAGCACCGCCACTGCAAAATCTTAGTAAATAGTTGGATAAATAGAAATCTGAAAAAAAAAAAGCTGATTAAGACAATTGACATGCAATTCCTATAGAATTGACTGAACATAGTAGACAAACACTTTTAGACAAAAAAATATTACCAAAAACTTTAGTCACGCTGATTTTTAGAGTTTAATTAATGTTGTTAAATAAAAGTTTTCCCTTGCATAGTCTTATATTAAACCAAAAATTAAAAGAGCTGTTTAACTTCAATACAAATTCCCACATAAAAATGAAAAAGATTATTTATTTTTATTAATGAAATAAAGTAAGTATAGATGAAAAAACAAGACTAAAAAATGTGATGGTGGAACGGTTGAATAGAAGGGGAACAATTTTGTAATTGTCGGCTAAGGAGGAATGATGTTCCCTTCCATTCCGCCCTACTTTACACCCTGGATATAGTAAGACAAATCGTTAGAAATAAAAGTTGTATATAAAATTTTTCTGCTTAAAGGAACTAGATTTTAAAGGTTGCAAAGTTTTCATTCAATCCTATTATATTCTAATATATACATCAGTTCTTTACATTAGTGTGTGTGTGTATATATATATATATATATATATATATATATATATATATATATATATATATATATATATATATATATATATATATATATATATATATATATATATATATATATGTATATATATATATATATTTATATTTATATTTATATATATATATATATATATATATATATATATATATATATATGTATATATATATATATATTTATATTTATATTTATATATATATATATATATTTATATATATATATATATATATATATATATATATATATATATATATATATATATATATATATATATATATATATATATATATAAATATATATATATATATAAATATATATATATATATAAATATAAATATATATATATATATACATATATATATATATATATATATATATATATATATATAAATATAAATATAAATATATATATATATATACATATATATATATATATATATATATATATATATATATATATATATATATATATATATATATATATATATATGTATATATATATATATATTTATATTTATATTTATATATATATATATATATATATATATATATATATATATATATATATATATATATATATATATGTATATATATATATATATTTATATTTATATTTATATATATATATATATTTATATATATATATATATATTTATATATATATATATATATATATATATATATATATATATATATATATATATATATATATATATATATATTTAGGGCAGCAGCGTTTATTGTTTGGATCGTGATTGCAAGACTAAAGTTTTGAATATTGATCCTACAGAGTTCAAGTTCAAACTAGCATTGGTGAATCATCGGTATGATGAAGTACTGAATATGGTGCGGAATGCAAAATTAGTAGGACAGTCCATCATCTCTTATTTGCAAAAGAAAGGTTATCCAGAGGTAAGTATTAACATGAATATAGAAGTATTTTTGTTTATACCACTTTTTAGAATTTTTTTTTGTTTATTACTTTTTGTGTTATTATTAGGTCTAAAATTTAATTTCTGTATTTTTTACGCTTTTTAAACTACGTGAAACTAGACAAACTGAAGGCAATACTTTTATTCAAAATAATTTTTTTCATTAATAACAACATTTTTCCAAAGTTTGGGCAATTTATGGTATCCATCATAATACAATTTTTCTGGTTTGGCTGCCATCCATTTTTCAAGCCATTTTTCGACGTCTTGACGATCTTGAAAGTGCTGCTCTGCTAGACCATGAGCCATTGGTCAGAGAAGGTGATAATCCGACAGGGCAATGTTTGGAGAGTATGGTGGGTGTGGTAAGACTTCCCATTTTAACTTTTTTAGCATGTCTTTTACCACTTTTGAATCATGTGGCCTTGCATTATCATGAAACAGTATAAGTTTGTTGTGTTGATCCGCTCATTCTGGTCTCTTTACTGCAATTTCATGACATAACTATGCTAATTTATGTTGATAGTGATTTGCAGTGACTGTTTCGCCTGGTTGAAGAAGTTCATAGTACAGTATGGTGCGTTGATCCCACCATATGCACAGTAAGACCTTCTCATGGATGGTTTTGCAGTCAAAGTTGTTAGTTCACTGGGACTAACCCACAATTTTCTTCGCTTGTAGTACACCCATTTTTTGTCACCAGTTATGATGCGGTGCCAAAACAACTTTCTTTGGGATCTTTCCAGTCAAGATTTGTGAAGTTGTTTTTTCTCTGCTCTTTGTTATGTTCTGAAAGCTCATAGGGTTATATTCCTTCTGAATCTTCCCCATTGCTTTCAATCAAAGAGAAATGGCTTTTTGCGTGACGCTGAGAGATGCTGTTAGTTGCTCCTGCGTTTGAGCCGAATTTTCATCCAATAAAAAAGGCTTGGTCGGAAAGCGGGAGCAATAGCTCTCAATTACTGACCACAGAAGTAATATTTAGTTGCATAAAACTAGCCAGATTTTTTAGTCTTTTTGAAAACATTTCAAAAACCAAAAAAAAAAATGTACAAGACAGGCCTTCTCATAAGAGGCATGCGATTGCACGCCTTATATGACCACGCATAAAGTTCTTTGTTTTAACAACTTGACCATGGCTCTTTGCAAGTTTTGATAATTAGCGCGTTTAAAAAATGCGCTAAAAAAAAAAAGCAAATTAAAATAAACAATCCATAAACTGTAAAGAGAATAAAATCCTTAAAATAATATATAATACAAAAATTAACCTAAAAAAATAAAATATTCAAAGAATGATAAAATAAATAAAGGAAAAACCAGAAGAAAAAAATTAAAAACATTTGTTAATTAATGTAAACTTAATTGTAAACGAAAGTAAAAAAAAAATTGAATCACAGCTCTAATAATCTTTATCATTCCTTCCCATAAATAATTAGGCTAATACAAGGGCAAATCCATTGTGAGGGAAAGGGTCCCCCTCTCCTCAGATTTTTTATTTATTTTTTTAGAAATTGATGTTTAAAAACGTAAGTAACTTTGGCTTTTTAAAAGTGCCATGAAATTTAATACAATTTTGTGGTTCCAGTTTTAAATTTTATTAAAAAATCAATAGGATGCAGGGTGCAACAAAGCGACATCGACAAATGTGCGCGCAATTCTTAAAAGACAGACAGAAAAACAAACATCACGTTTCTTTAATTTTGCTTATACAAACATTGCCATTTGATTAGGATTTTTCCAAAAGAAAGTATCACTTTAGCAATTTTTTTCAAAATAGTTTTACGATAATTAGTTTTTTATTTATTATAAGAAACACATATTTAATATAAAAACAATTAATTTCACAGACTTAAATTAATGCCAAAACATAAGTACTTTTTTTAATAGCGTTGCTTGTAAGTAAAATAACTAAATACGCTATAGAAATAGTAATTATGTTTTAGCATGGTTTTTGCATGCGCTCACAAATGCATACATAATTTTACTTAAAATCAATGCTTTTGCAAAAACTTCAAAAGAAACCATGCTCAAACATTTTGATTGCTTTCTTTTATTGAGAAAAGCGATCATAACATTTAACAATGGTTTCTTTTATGTTTTTAGCAATTACATTAAAAGTTTAAAGCAAATGTATTCATTATAAATAAAATTTAGCATGCTTTTTTTAAAGTTTCTTATTTTTCATTAAGTGAAATAATATTTGTTTGCATATTAAAACTTTTGCACTTTTAAAAGTTTTTTTATTGTGCATTTATCATTAATTTATGCGCACTTTGCAAATATGTAAAAAAAAGGTTTTTGAAAAATTAAAATTGAATAAATTTACTAAGCGTCTTTGATATATTTAATAACTTATTAACTAGAATATAATTTATTTGAATTTTATTTGACTTAAATCACTTAAATTAAACGTTTTTCAATAAATAAAGATACGCAAGTTAACGTTCATTTAAAAAAAACAGTCGCGCTCTGGGATAAAAAAAAAATGGCAGATACGATTGTTTCAAGATTATTGTAATTCCTTTTTTTTAATAAATAACTTTTTAATTAGAAATTATATTTCAATGATAAAATGGTTTGTAATTATTTTTTGATAGCTTCTGTACTCATTTTGCCTTAAACTCTAATCTGAATATTTTTTTCAATGATTGCCTTTAATTAAGTTGCATTAAAGTACTCAGGAAATTTTGTGCGAGTTTAATTGTAATTATGGAATCAATTAAATTAAAAATCGCATTTGTTTTTTTTTTAGTGCATTTTTAAAACGCGCTAATTATCAAAACTTGCAAAGAGCCGTGGTCAAGTTATTAAAACAAAGAACTTTATGTGTGGTCATATAAGGCTTTGCGTAGAATGAAAAGTTTAACATATTTGAAACAATTCTTCTTAGTAAGATGAACAAATGAAATTATTAAATCATTCAATTACTATAGAAATTAAATTAGTTAGATAGAAATCAACTAAAAGGTTAAAAATACTTTATGACGAGGAAGTGAAACTGCTTCATAATATCACTGATGACGTTTAATTAGTGGGCTTCTTAATTTTAATTAGTATTTAAAGCAGAAAAAAGTATGAGTTTTGAAAGGGACTACCAAGTCCCGAGACATGTTGTGTTCATATTAAATAGAATGTTAAAAAAACGTCTGAGCAAATTTTTTTTTGGTTAAAACTAATTAATAAATGTATACCAAGAAAAATAAATCTTGTTGTTTTAGTCGAAGCTTGTCTTCTCCATTTTCTGCGGTATTTGGAGTCTGTAAAATAAACGTGATTTTCCAGGCGCATTATACAGACTTGATAATTTATTCAAGTGCGTTTAATTCATAGAAGTTTTAGTACATGACGTCATTAGAAACATTCTAGAAATTCTTTAAAAATTTTACTATTAAATTTTACTAAAATAACTAACTATAGTTAGTTATTTTATTTTCTAAAATCTTCACATTAAAAAAAACTTAATGTTTTTTTAATAGCTATCAGAGCCGTGGCTACATGGGCCATGGCGGCGGTGGACCTAGGGACCCCTATGGCGCCAAATTGAGTTATATAATATCTCTGATGATTCACAAGTGTATTCTTTACATTTTCGACAAATCTAACAAACAATTAATTAAACCAAGCACTAGGAAAAGATATAAAAAATAAGAATATACTAATAAAATATATAATTTGTAATTAACTTTCAAAATTTTGACAATTTAAAAAATATATATTATAAAACATTTATTTTTGTAAACAAATAATAATATTTTAAAAGATTTACGGCTCCGAGAATGAGCCATAGTATTGATAATATATTCTTAAAACAATTTATGCTAGAAATCTCAAAACTTAACAAATCATGAATAATACAATTTCTAAAACATTCCAAAAAAATAATCTAGAACTTTAATTCGCTTAGTCATCATATTTTTTGAACCAATAGAATTTGTTTGTAAATTTGGCAGGTTTTTAATGTTAGCAAATATTCTTTTTATTCTTTCGCACCAAGGTGTTTTGAGAACATTCAAGTTTATTATGTTTCCATGTATGTCTGTAAATCAAAAATCTTTTGTTAAAAAAACTGTTACAAACTTAAATGTTCTCAAAATGACTAAAAAGCCTGGTCAGTTTTTTGCAACAGAATATAATTTCCGTGGTCAGTATTCGAAAGTGATCGCTCCCGCTTCTTGATCAAGTCTGATAAAGCTTGAAGTTGTTCGCCTTCAAATTTTTTTGGCTGTCCTGGCAGATCTTTGTCGTTAACCTCAAAATCCCCTGGTTTGAAATGCTAAAACCATTCTTGGAAGCTTCATATGGATGGAGCAGCATTGCCATAAGCTTTGGCAAGCATTTGGTGCATGTCAGTGGCTTTCTTCTTGTGATGGAAAAGGAAAAGAAGAGCTTCCTGCAAATGACATTTTTCCGACGCGAAGGTTGACATCTTCTAATCTAAAAATAACACATATTTATAATGTTATATAGGGAAAGTCATATATTGATAGAACTCTGATAATACAGAGAACATTATAACTAAAATTCATTACATAAAAACAATTTTGACAAAATAAAATGATAACAAAAAACACAGAAATTAACTTCTAGACCTAATAAGTTTTAACAATTGCATCATGATTGATTGCATCATGGGAATTGCATCATGTTTCATCATGTTTGGAAATAGAAATGTAAATATAATCTATTGACAAAAAAGGTTATTTGTTGAACTCTTTACTAGGTGGCACTTCACTTTGTTAAAGATCAAAAAACAAGATTTGGTTTAGCATTAGAATGTGGTAATCTTGAAGTTGCATTAGAAGCTGCTAAATCTCTTGAAGACAAACTTTGTTGGGAAAAGCTTAGTGAAATGGCATTGAAACAAGGAAACCATCAGGTATACTTAAAGAAAAACTTGTTTTTGAACATTTTTAAATTTTTTTTTACTTTAATTCTTTTTTTTTACTTTTTTTCCTTAAAAGATAATCACAATAGTTGTTTTGAATTATTTTGAATCTTTAACTATTTTAATTTTAGGTAGTAGAAATGTGTTATCAAAGAACAAAAAATTTTGATCGCCTTTCTTTTCTATATCTTACAACTGGTAATACTGATAAGTTAAGAAAAATGCTAAAAATCTGTAAGTTTATTTATTACAAATAATTTAAAAATGAAACTAAAGTTTTGAATAAGTACTAATAATTTTAAATGAAATAATATTTTTAAATAAAAAGTTTTTTTAATATTACTATGATTACTTTTTTTCCAGCTGAGATTCGAAAAGATGTAAGTGGTCACTTACACAATGCTTTGTACTGTGGAGATATTAGAGAAAGGATTAAAGTGCTGAAGCAAGTTGGTCAAGGTTTGCTATTTAGTGTCATAAATAATTGTTCATTTATGAATTATTGAAATTTTTATTAACAATTCTTGTATTTAGGTTCACTAGCTTATCTGACTGCTGCAACTCATGGACTGACTGAAGAATGTGCTGAAATACAAACTTTGTTTAATCTGGATCCAGAGAAGGTTTAAATTTGGTTTAATGTAAAAATGAAATTTCATTTAAAAATAAGAATAAATAAAAACACTTTACAGCGATGTTCCTTTTAAGCTACATGGATGAACATATATATATATATATATATATATATATATATATATATATATATATATATATATATATATATATATATATATATATATATATATATATATATATATATATATATATATATATATATATTAGGGCTGGGCAAGTTAACACGTTATTATCGCGTTAACGCATTAATTAATTAACGCCGACAATAATTTTATCGCGCGTTAACGTACTTTTTATTTTGAAAAGTCTAAAAAGTGAAAAGTAAACTTTTTAATTTAAATTTAATAGTTCATTAAACTAAAAAGTGACAGGGCTGCACAAAATTCATCAAAACAGACCTGTCAATCTTTAGTTTACAGAACTATTAAATTTAAATTAAAAAATTAATCTCCAGATTTTATTATTGTAAAAAAATATATTTTTTTGCTAAGTTTTTATGAAATTTTTTTTTCCACCTATTAGTCTTTACAATGAGTTCATTATGAGTTTCTGCCTCTCGTTTTTTTTTAAGATTCACAAGCTTAACTTTATTTTTCTTTTGTGAAACTGTCTGTCAAAGTTTTTGTTTCTCATTTTATATTTTTTGCTTATTATTGCTTATAATTATTATTATATTAATTTATATTAGTATTAATATATTAAAAAAGTTATTTTGCATTTTGTATTTTTATGTTTATTTATAGTTTTGTTTATTTATTTTGTATTGTTTCAAAATTATGTAATAATCGAATTATAATTTAATTATTTATAATTCGATAATAATCCAATCATAAAAGAATTGAAACTTTTGTGCGTATTTATGTTATTGCTTATGCTCAAACAACAAGCAGTAAGTAAATTGAGAAATATTTAAAAATGGAAAAAGGTACCGAAATTTTAAACGGACACTTTTATTTTAAACCTCTTCAACAAGGAGTAGATAGAACTAAAGCTATTTGTAAACACTGCAAAGCGGAATTTTCTTATCATCGGAGTACTTCAAGTTTGAAGTATCACTTAAATGCAATGCACACCGTTGATGCTAACAAATCATCCACCCAAACAAACAGTGGAGGAAACCTTCGGCAAACTACGTTAGATGCAGCACGAAGGAGAACTACAGAGAAACAAAAGAAAGACAAGATAACAAATGCCATTGCAAAGTGGGTAGCTACAAATTGCAGGCCAACTAGTATTGTGGAAGATGTCGGTTTGAAGAATGTTATTCGAATCGCAACGAATGACTGCACAGATGAGCCTCCGCCAAGACGCACCATTGTAAGAAAAATACATGAACTGTATGAAAACGAGAGGACTATAAAGGCAACGACATTACAACGTGCACAAACTGTTGCCCTCACCGGAGACTACTGGACATCGCTGGGTAACCATAATTATCTCGGAGTAACTGTGCATTACATTGATGAACAATGGAAACTGCATTCACGTGCTTTGACAGTAATGAAGACACAAGAAAGATATTTTGCTGAAACGTGCGCAGAACATTTCATTCATGTTGCACAGCAGTGGGACATTTTAAATAAAGTCAGCACACTTAGCACAGATTGTGCTAGAAATATTGTTGCTGCTGCAAGACATCTGCCTTTTGAACGCGTCCCTTGTGTCGCTCACAGTCTTCAGCGTTCTGTCACAGTATCTTTGCACAACAGCGCGTTTGACAATGCCCTGGCTAAATGCAGAAAGGTGGTGGGCCATTTTAGACACAGTCCAGCAAGTGCTGCAGAATTAGAAAAAAAACAAATTGAGCTTGGACAAAAGAAGGAGTCGCTTATACAAGACATTCCAACCAGATGGAACTCAACTCTGGACATGATAAAAAGTGTTCGCAGAAACGAACAGCCACTGAGCGATGTCCTCACCACACACAACACAAAAGTTGCTATGCCAACTCCAGCTGAAATGGACAAATTGCAGAGGTTGGAAAAGCTCCTAGAACCCTGCAGGTATATTTTACATCATATATTTCTTACTGACTGGTTTGATTGCATGTGAGAGAATTGATGTGTCTGTATTTGTGCGTAAGCATGAACATGAGAACACTTTTTGTGTGTATAAGTGAATGCAAAACATTTGAGTGAAATGGGTTTTATTTTTTGCAGGTATGTGACTGAACTTCTGGGTGGAGAAACGTACGTTTCATGCTCTGTGGTTCTGCCTGCTTTATGCCATCTCTCTCGGGTGATGGAGAGCTCAGATGATGACCCGGCCTATGTAGTCAAATTCAAATCTATGTTCAGAATAGATCTGGAAACACGCAAGGAAAATGCCAACATTGCATATCTAAAGATTGCAACCGCATTGGACCCGAGATTCAAAGACCTCAAGTGTATACCCAGAGTTGAGAGAGGTGAGGTGTGGGTCTCAATCACTAACTTACTCAAGGAACAGAGGGTTATTGCAGATGAACCTGTGGAAGCAGCAATATCAAAGCCATCAAAGAGAAAATTTGCTCTATTGGTTGCTTCATCAGAGTCTGATTCTGAACAAGAGAAAGACTCAATTGAAAACAATGTGCGTCGGTACAAAGCAGAGCCCACCATCAGTACAGAGGCCTGTCCATTACAGTGGTGGTCCAAACATGCAGGCTCACACAACAGACTGGCCTCAATTGCACAGAAGTACTTGGCAACACCTGCAACATCTGTTCCTTGTGAAAGATTGTTTTCTCTTGCTGGTCATATTGTACAAAAGAAGAGAGTTTCTTTATCATCTGAAAATGTGAATTACCTTGTTTGTCTTAGTAACTGGCTTGGTGCAGATGAGTAAGTAAAGTTGGAAGAATGGATAAAATTGTTTAAAGTTTTGACAAACCAAAAGTTATGTTAATTTAACTATGAAAAAATAAATTTACGCTATATATATACTACTTGTGGTTTTATTATTGAATTTTTCGTATTTCTGCGATTAATCGCGATTAATCGCAAAAAATCATGCGATTAATGGCGATTAAAATATTTAATCGTTGCCCAGCACTAATATATATATATATATATATATATATATATATATTTTTTTTTTTTTTTTTTTTTTTTTTTTTTTGCATAGTATATGTGAGTTTAAGAATTTTCATTAATACAAAATGTATGATGCTTTTGTATATCTATTTCAGGTTTGTTTTAGAGTTTTGAAATCACACTAAAAATATTGTTGCTTTGATTTGATTCTTTTTTCATTTTAGTATAGTTAGTTTTGCGCTAGCTGTTGCTCGCAGCTTAGAAGGAATTTTGCTTGACAAAATACTTAAAATATTCAAAAAGAATTTTAATAACATTTTGATCGGAATAATAATTTAAAAGCTTTAATTTTTGTTCTTGTTGAATCAACATAAAATTAAAAGCATAGTTAATTGTTTAGATTTTTTTAATTTTATTGTTTCTAAAGTATGTTTTTTGCAAAAACATGTTTTTTTTAACTTTAATTTTTTTTTAGTTGCCAGCAATAAATCCTAATGCCAAACTGTTGCGGCCACCTGTACCAATTTTACTGAATGAAGGAAATTGGCCACTACTTGCTGTTAGCAAGACAATATTTGAAGGATCAACACCATTAAAAGGTTAATTAGTTTACCTTTTAATGGCTTTTTTTTCATTTTAATAACTTTATTTGCACTTTAAAAACAAAACCAAAGTATTTGTAAAAACACAGTTGCAGAACTATTTACCCAATGAAACAATTTAGTTTCATTGGGTATGTAACATAAAACAATTTAATTTAATGCAACAGAGTTTACTAATGATCTGCTTATTGAATAAGCAAATGAATTAATATAAGATTTAACAACATTTTAATTTACTATGACATAAAATTTTTATAAAAAAAGAGACCATTTTTTATAATATGCTTTTTTAATAGATGCGCCTATGTCAGTTTCAGCAGTTCAAGGTGATTTTGGCGAGGAAGGAGAAGGATGGGGAGATTCAGATTTGGTCTTGGAAGAAGGTTTAGATTTTTTATTTAGAATTTCATTTTCATATGTAAACTGTTTTTGATTGTTTAATGAGAATTTTTGTTTTATAGATGCAGGATTTGCTGATCCTGATGAAAAATTAAAAGTTGATGAAGAAGGTAGTGGTTGGGATGTTGGAGATGACGATCTTGAACTCCCGAAGGATCTGGTATCTGTATTTAATATGTTTTTTAAACATAATAAAATTTTCAAAATTAATAAAGTTTTTTAAATTATTATATTAATTTTAACTTAGTGTAAAAGAATTAACGTCAACAAAAATTTTAAAAATTAAAAAACTTTTATTAAAGATAAATTATCATGGATAAATTATTACCAATGATAAATTATTTTCATTTATACATCATTTGTATAGATACTTCTTAATTTATTTTTTTTTGTATTCAACTTTTATAAGTTTTTTTCATACACTTTTCTACTTTCATTAACTTTTCATAAACCTACAAACTTAACTTTAAAGATTACAGAGAAAGTTCTACTCTAATGAAATCTTAAAAAATTATAGTAAAAAATTAATATAACCAATATTTCTTTAAATCATTGTGATCTTTAGTTATGTATAGTGTGTTAATGGGTGTTAATGGTGGTGGTGATGATATTGATCATATTAATATCTAATATTAAAATGCAATTTTAAAATTTTTATTTGGAGATATCGAATTCTCTACAGTCATCAAATATTTTTTTTGTTCTTTTGGTTTCAGACATGTTTTACATATATAATAAACTGTTTTATGGATAATACATTAGATGAATTAAGATAAACTAAGGCATCAATGTATTTTTATTAAATTTTAATAAAAAATAAAGAAACAATAGGAAGTCTTTTCTCCTAATGCATTTCTTATATGATTTTATTAGGATATTGCTCCAGTATCAGGTGGTGAAGATTTTTATGTACCTCCTACTAAAGGCAATAGCCAAGGGCAAGTATGGTTGTCCAATTCTCAATTACCAATGGATCATTTGGCAGCTGGTTCATTTGATTCAGCAGCAAGGGTATTTAATTTTTACTTGGCATTAGCATAAAATTTATTTCTTAAGTCAAAATTATATAATCTATCAGACATATTTTAGAATTTAGTTTATTTTGAATTCATATTGAATGTGTATATTAAAATATTAAAAAGTGCAACAGTTTATAACAAGATATATTTGTTATAAAACTCTGTTGCTTTCTTTTTATGTTTATTCTTGCTTTTGCCTCTTATTGTCTAATGATAATTGATGTCATCTTTGTTTTATAGCTACTAAACGAACAATTAGGAGTTGTAAATTTTGAACCTTACAAACAGTTATTTATGCTTGCATACGCTCGTGGTCGTGTGGCAGTACCAGGCCTACCTTCTTGTCCAAGTTTATACTTTTATCCACACAGAAACTGGTCATTTTTCAATTTTTGAAATAATTTTCCCCCTTTTTTTTCTATACATTTATTTTATACTGTATTTGTTTAAATTTTTGTTTCTTAAATCAGGAAGGAAGCTGGAGCAAAAGCTGGGTTACCTGCTATTGGCTTAAAGTTAAATAACTTAGTACAAAGATTACAGGTGAATGTTTAAAAGAAGCATGCCAACTTTTATTATGTAAATATCAGCAAAACATTTTAAACAACTTATTATCTTATTTGTCATCTTAATTACCAATTAGGTAGCATACCAATTAACAACTGGGGGAAAATTTACTGAAGCAGCAGAAAGACTTCATCAGATTCTTTTGAGTGTTACTTTGTTAGTTGTAGAATCAAGGCAAGAAATAACTGAGGTATATATAATGAAAGGTTACAACATTTTTTGAAGAATCTTAAAATTATTGTTTTTGTAATTAGTAACGTTTGAGGCTCTTCAAAAAAAAAAAACTTTAATATATATTTTTGTTTTATAGGCCCAACAGCTATTGGGTATCTGTAGGGAATATCTTGTTGGTCTTCAAATGGAGACTGTTAGAAAAGATTTACCAAAGGTACGTTAATATTTTTAAAAACATTTGGAGGTTTTAATGTATGTTTAGAGGTTTTAAAATTTTTTAAAACCTCTGAACAAAGAGATGATGTAATCCATGAGACGTTACTCACTATTATAAGCTGATAAAAAACATCTTTAATTAAAAAAATTTTATGACTGTAAATTCAGATTTCTTAATTCTTCACTAATGTTACAAGCTATGCTATATATATAGCATAACTTATATATAGCATAGCTTATAACATAAGTGAAGAATGAAGGATACTGAATTTACAGTTATAAAAATTTTGAAATTTTTAAATTAGAAATGTTTTTTATCTGCTTAAAATAGTTAGTAACATCTCTTGGATTACATCATCTCTTGGAGTTTAAAAAAATTACATCAGTATTTAAACACTTAAAGAAACATGAAATAAGTATTATAATGAATAGCACCTGTTTTTCTCTGATTTTGTATTGGAAGGATTAGTGTCATTCATCAGATTCTAAAGTGTACTAATCTCCTAACTCATAACAAACCTTTTTCTATTCCTACTTTCATTAAACATGCTTTCATATCATTTGAAAATATTTTTTTGACTTTTGTATTTACATGTACTTATAAACTAATAAAATTGTTAATACAGTTGCAGAAAAACAAGAATATATACAAGAGTATGTTATCTTGGGTATATATTTTGATAAATGTTAGAATAAGGAATATTTAAAAAAATTAAAGTTGTCTAAAGTTGCTCCTTTAACAAAAGTTTTCCGATTACAAATTAAAATAAAATTTTTTTGATGACAAATTAAAAATAAATTTTTTGATTATAAATTGAAAAAAAAGTTTTTTTTTGATTACAAATTAAAAAAAAGTTTTCTGCACTACAATGACAATGTTTAGGAATTTGTTGCTCAAATTTTGGAATAATTTTCGAAGCTGTTATTAATTTAAAAATAGTTTAAATAATGAACCTATAAAAACAAATCTTGATCATTAAAAATTTAATAGCAAATAACTTCATGAAAGTTTTTAAAATGCACACTTTTATAAAATAGTTTTTGTTTTAAATTTGATTAAATTGGTGTTATTCATTTTTCAGAAACAAAAAGCATGTTTGCATATATGCATAATGCATACTAATATATGCTTTTATATAATTTTAAAGTATTTCCCTGCAATTTTTTCGAGAAATTTATGTACTATGTTTCTATCAGTATTGTGGATTTTTAATTTAGGACACATCTGATCAGCAAAAGAGAGTTTGTGAGGTAACTTATTTTCTATACATTTGCAGCAAAATATTTAACAATATTTAACCATAAAAATGCTTCTATTTTTAGATGGCAGCTTACTTTACACATTGCAGTTTGCAACCTATTCATTTGGTGCTTACCCTTCGAACTGCATTAAATCTTGCTTTTAAGGTTTGAATGTCAGAAAATCGCTAATGTTATTTAAAACTTTGGAAAGCAATGTTGTTTTTTAAACAACTTTTAGTTTGCAGTCTAGTTATATTAGTTAAGCTTTTTTAATCTTTTTTATTTTTGGTAATAGATTAAAAACTACAAGACTGCTGCGTCCTTTGCACGTCGTTTATTAGAGTTAGGACCGAAACCAGAAGTTGCTCAACAGGTAAAAATATTAATTGCAATTAAGAATTTAAAAACACCTTAAGTATAAGTTAAAGTATATACTAAGAAAAATATATAAACTAAATAGCTAAGGATTCATTTTGCATTAAATAAAGTGGGTTATTTCTTGCTCAACATGTGAAAGTTTGAGAGAATTTAAAAACACCTTTAAAAAAACTTTAAGTAATAGTTGAGTTTTGCACTAAATCAAATTTCTTGCTACTGCTGATCTTCGCAATGTAGTTGTTTAAACGAGAAATTCATTTTTAGACACGAAAAATTTTACAAGCTTGTGAAAAGAGTCCTACTAACGCAGTGGTATTGGATTACGACGAACTTAATCCATTTTCCATTTGTGCTGTTACCTATACTCCAATATATAGGTAAGTAAGGTTGATGCATATTTTTGATATTTTCTGTTTTTAGTTTGTTGTTATGTTATTTTTACTTGAGCTTTTTATGGAATAAAATATTATAGCCTGTTAAACGAAAATTTTTAATAGCTAATTAATTTCTCATCTTTATTTTTTTGTATACTATGTTTTTTATGGAATAGAATATTATAGCCTCTGCAATAGGGACGGATCCAGCATTTTTTGGTCTTTGAGATAGCTAACTTCCAGCCATGAAGCAAATTCTAAACATTTATATGTTTATATTTATGTCAAATAAGGATGATTTGCAAAAAATTGTGATGATTGGAGCCTGGGAACAAAAAACCCACAAAATATTTTTATATAAATTCTTGGAATATGCTCTAATCTGTAAGTTGCTATCTCAATAGCAACTTACAGATTATAATCAAATAGTACAAAAAATTGCTGGATCCGTCCCTGCTTATAGTTGTTTGCTTTCTTTGGTTCATTTTATGTAATTGTTCACTTTTCTATAGATTAAATTTTTTATAATAGTTCGCTTATCAAATGCTTCTATGTTATTGCACACTTATCTTTTGCTTAAATTTACTTAATTTCGTGTATTACACTTTTATCTGTTGTCTAATTTTTTAATTGCTTTTTTGTTTAAAAAAAAAGTTTTTTTATTAAAACTGCTATAAAATATATACGTAATATCGGCGTTAGTTTAAAGTCACTAAATTAAAATCGATGTTGAGCCAACGTTGGATAACGTTAGTGTAGGTGGATGGTTATATAGATTTATAAAAGGTTTTTATGTTTATATGATCTGATATCTGCATGTGCCGTTGTATGTCGATATAGCGCAGTATGATATACTTTCTGTAAATAAATTTTATTCACTGCCTAATAGCTATTTGCTTTTTTTGCTTTTTATTTTTGATTGTTTCATTTTATTTTATTTAAATTTGTGGAAATAATTATAGGGGTAAGCCTGAGGAAAAGTGTCCATTGTGTCAAGCTTCGTATAAACCTCAGTATAAAGGAACTATTTGCAAAATATGCGAGGTATGCTTACCATCATAAATATTTTTTATTCTCTGCTTTTCCGATATTAAAGGCGGAAACTTAAAAAACAAATTTTTTTTTCAGGTTGCTGAAGTCGGAAGGCCAAGCTCTGGTTTAAAAATAAGTCTTTCGCAGTTTCGCTAACTTAATAGAATGTTAACAAAAAATTTGATCAACTTATTTATTAACGGGAACGATTGATTTGACAAAGTTCATCCGACTCTTGGTTTGTGGCGGCGTCATACAGATAATATAGCACTGTGTGAATTAGAACAAATTAAATTTATTTTTTGTAATTCTGAATACATTATAACTTAATTACTTCTTTTATATAATTTTTCAGTCTATTAAAATTTCGTGCTGTTTTATTAAATTTTTTTTTTTTTACTCAAACAAAGAATAAACATTAGAATACAATGTATTAAAGCAATCTTGTTTTATTTAAGCTTTATCTTAACATAAAATACGGCAGTCGATTTTTATTCGCGTCATCTTTTATGCCATTATGTAACAATTTGAAATTCGCTTGATACTGCTGGATTATAATTAAAAAATATTTGCCTGATCTTGAAGCAAGTATACGGATTTTAGAGTTTTACTTTTAGACATTTAATAAACATAAGGAGCCTTTTATTACCATGTGAAAGGTGGTGCAACCAGTTTTCAATTAAGTTATTTCAAAAAGGCATAAATCATGAATAAATATTCCTTCAACTTATAAATTATTAAAAATTTCAATTGACTAAAGCCAATTTAAATTGTGACGTAACGACATGAAATAATTTAGAATACAAATGAAACCTCTGGATTTTATAAAAATCAACATTAAAGTGTGAAATGTATTTGCAAACATGTATTTTTTTAATATGTAAACAAAGCGTTTGTTTTAACGAGTTTTTCAGAGTTTTATTGATTGTTTTAAGTTATTTCTTGAAAGGAATCTTGTTATATTTGTCGGCATCTCGTACATGCGTATGCGATTTCTTGCATAAGTATTTAATAAATTCGTTTTTGAGTCGTTGTTTTTTTTTTCTTCTAAAATACATATATATATGTATATTTTTCATTTAAATAAAATCAAAATTAAAAAACCATTAATGACATCGATTTTTGTTGGTGGTGGAGACAAAGATAGCATTAACTGAGTCAACATTACAATATATTAGTCGACATAAAATAAAGAAAACATATTTAAATCAATTGCTAGCTTTTTAAGTTACATATATCTTGAGTTTACAAAGCATGAAAAAATATAACTTCCTCATGTCTCGTGACTTGCTACACTAAATGTTACATTAGGGTGAAATTACCTAATGTCTTTATTAATTAAAAGCATAGCGGAAATTTATACGATTGAAGAAAACAAACATGCAAAACAATCATAAGATATTAATAGAAAGTTAAACAAAAACTTTATGTTAGTGGATACGTAAGTTAAATTTATTTTATATCTATACCGTCTATATATATATATATATATATATATATATATATATATATATATATATATATATATATATATATATATATATATATATATATATATATATATATATATATATATGTATATATATATATATATATATATATGTATATATATATATATATATATATGTATATATATATATATATATATATATGTATATATATATATATATATATATATATATATATATATATATATATATATATATATATATATATATATATATATATGTATATATATGTATATATATATATATATATATATATATATATATATATATATATATATATATATATATAGATAGATAGATAGATAGATAGATAGATAGATAGATAGATAGATAGATAGATATATAGATAGATGTGCTAATAGCAGAAATAAAAAGATACATTTTATGCTTCATTATATTTAATAAGAAATAAGTCAAAGCTGCAGTTCAAAATATTTTCTTTAAAATTTTTTTTTAAAAGCAACCACAAAGTTGTCAATATAAATTTGAGCGAGCCCTTTAAAAACGATAAAAACATTTTTACTATTCAAAATAATTTTTATTGCAGCGGCAGAACCACCGCGTGTTTTTGTTTTTTTTAGTTGTTTTTTTTGATTTGTAACAAACCCGCATCTATAGAATTTTAAATTTTATAATCGTGTTTTAACTAATTGAAAGTTTTATTAATTTTTCATACTGAGCGATATTTGCTACCTATACTTATTAAACAAATATGTATTCTGTATCCAAAAAAGTCTAGATTTAAGATTAAATTTTAGGATTACAGTTCCTTCTTTATAAACAAGATTATGATAGCGCATTATATTTATCTTTGTAGCGCTTTACCATAACTGCAAATAAATCTAAAAAATATATATTGGTTGTATCCTTGAAATATCTTTTCTCTCTAATATAGATTTAAGAATAAAGCTTACAGGAACGTTTTAAACAAATTAAAAGCTTTGATCAATATATACAACGTTGTTTTATGAATATTAGTCAAATGAAGTCAGCATACGAAGCATAATGGAAAGAAAGTATAAAATAATCAAAACCCATCTGCTAGGAAGCGGTTCATACGCAAATGTATATTTGTGTCAAAAAAAGTTTTCAAGAAAAAAATTTGCGGCAAAGGTCATAGAGGTTAATGGAGATAATAGACTTAGACTTGAAACAGAGAATGAAGTAGAGGTACGTCTTCTGAAAAACTACTTTTATATTCTATATATATATATATATATTTAAACAATTTTAAAAATGTATTCTACAAAATAGAGTGCTAATTGTTCTTAAAAGAACAGAATAATTATAAATTAGTAGAGGTAGAGCAATTATAAATTAGTAGTTAGTTTTCTACTAATATATATATATATATATATATATATATATATATATATATATATATATATATATATATATATATATATATATATATATATATATATATTAATTTTTAAGGTGCCCCAAGAAGTATTATATAATAAGCAAATATTTTTAGCCCTTGCATTATTAAAGCATGAACGAGTCAAAAGATTTAGGTAAAACTTTTTTTAATTTACTTTTAGATACTGTTAGAACTACGTCATCACATAAATGTTGTACATTTAGTTGACGTCATACGAGAGCCATCAAAAATTAATATTATAATGGAATACGTTGATGGAAGTTCATTTTTAGCTGGAGTTTTTAAATGGCCTCAGTTTGATGAGAGCTGCGCTAAAAAAACAATTAAGCAAATTTTGTCCGCTCTTCAATTTTGTCATTCCAAGAGAATCGTTCATAGAGTAGGGTTTATACAAATTGTTTCTAATGTTCAAATAAAAACCGCTGGAACTTTCAAACAAATAGAATTTGATGGAAAATATACTTTTTTATTATTCACAAGTATACTGGAACTATGAAATATGATACAATATTATTATTTTAGGATGTTTGTCCCGAAAATATATTGTGGTGCGACGTGCCAACCCAGTTATATCCTCATAAAAAACCGTTATTAAAGTTGATTGATTTTAATCTTGCACGTAAAATACCCGGTGAGTTTTTTTTTAATTTTGGTTTCAAATAGTTATTTTTTTTCACACACCGTAAAAAAAAAAGCACCGTAAAATAAGATATGATAAAACTGTATAGATGAACTTGAATTTTTACGATCCGATCCACTTGGAAACTCGTCGTATATGGCACCGGAATGTTTAAAAGAGCCACCTATAGTTTCGTTTTCGTCAGATATTTGGAGCGTTGGGATAATTATATTTTTATTGCTGGTAATTCTAGTTTAAAAAATTGTTTAAAAGTATTTTTCTAAATAAAACATGTAATATAACTTTTAGCTAAAAAAACCTAATAGATTTTAAAATTTTGCTTCTAGGGAGGATATCCACCATTTTGGAATAAAAACTATAACTATCTCCTTCAAAATATATTAGAAGCAAACTATGCAATGCCATCAAACTTATGGAAAGGTGTTTCAAATGAAGCACAGGATTTAATAAAAAGAACGGCAAGCGATAGTTTTTTGCTTTTTTTTTTATATAAGGTTATTTTTATATGCACTTTAACATTTATTTGATTTATTTTTTCTTCAGCTAAATAAAGACTACAGATTTAGAGGAAATGTTGATGACGTCTTATCTCACTCGTGGTTCAATGATTATAAAGAGCAAAGTAATTATGTCCTTGAGAGTCCCAGCCGTTTAAACGCATTTTTGAAAAACTTAGAAGAAGAGAAGAAATGGTAATTACTGTTCGTTTTTTTTTCCGTAAATTTTCTTTTTTTTTTAAATGCTATTCTTAAATGTAGAATGAGGTTTGTCTTGAAAACTGGCAAATTTCCAAGGTTTCTTTTGCACGCATATTGCCGAGGTTTGTTTTGGAAACTAAAAAATTAACATAAAATACTCTAGGTCATCATCTGTTTTACTGATATAATTAAAATTGTTGATGGTTTAAGGTGTAGTTGTTTCTTATGTACTTTACATTTTTATTTACAAAAATAACATTAAATTCAATCTGAAAAAGTTGATCAAAAAGCAAACAAAGTTGTCATTGAAGTAAGAGTTTTTTCTCTACAATGTTTAAAACTTCAATAATAAAAAGTTTTTTTTTTTATTCTGAAAATTTCAGGCAACTGGAACAAAAGTTAAAATTTTAAAAATTGGAATATATTTTAAAGGCTCTAAAACACCTAAACATCTAGTATATATATATATATATATATATATATATATATATATATATATATATATATATATATATATATATATATATATATATAAATATATATATATATATATATAAATATATATATATATATATATATATATATATATATATATATATATATATATATATATATATATATATATATATATATATATTAGATGTTTTATACATTATAGATAACTGATAACTATTTTCCTTACTTATTTTAGCTTTTAATTAATACCAAATTTATATTATTTGATTTATTTTCATGAAAGCTATGGTTAACTTAAGTTAATAATTACAAATTAATACAGTCACAACATTCTTCAGCAAATTATTACAGTCACAACTTTTTTAACATTCATATACAACCTTTTTGCTTAAATTGCTTACAACTTTCTTAAATGGAAATAAAAAAAAGTTGCTTCTAATAATAATTTTAACTAAATAACACACAAGTTTGATTTTACTTTTGTCTCATACCTTAAAAATTTTAATTTTTTTTTATGTGAAATAAAACGTAGTAAATTTCAAAAATCTTCGATTGATTATGTGCTAAACATATAAACAAATTTTATCCCAAAAATGTATATATAAAAATGTAAAATCATTTTCAATTTTCTAACTTGCAATTTTCTAAAAAAAAAAAAAATCAAAACAAACAAAAATATAAATGAAGAGTTTTTTTTAAGAACAAAACAATACAACACTTAAATTTAACTGAAAAGTTAAATAAGGAATACCCTAAAGCAAAGGAACTCTTTATAAAAAGCAATACAAACAACACTTAAAAAATACTTACAAAAAAAGTTATAAATACGGTGACAGCACTTACGTTTAATAATCAAAAAAAACTTAAAAGTTGTTTTTGTTGTTACTTTTAATTTTTAAATCCACGTAACTTCGTTATACTCAAGAAGGAAAATAATTTGTTTTTACGTTGAAAGTAATGTTAAAGTGGTTTTCGTTGATTTTAAACCTAAGTTTTTACGTTTTTATGATTTTTAAATCAAAAAAATATTTTCATATTAATCACATGACAATACTCATTTAGAAAACTGAAAAAAATAAGGACGGGGAGATTTGGAAAAGTGGGAGGGGGAGACAGAAACTGCATTTGCGCACTATTTATCTATTTTGGTTGAAAGTTATTTATTTTCTATATTAGAAAGTTTAGCTATAAAAACTTTAACTTTAAAAAAGAAAAGTGAAAATTGCGTTTTTTTATTTTAGGCATAATATAAAACTTAAGCTCTAACAAAAGATCTCTTGAGTAAAATTTACAATAAATGTACCATATTTTGCTACATGCTTTATATGGTAGCAAAAAAGTTTTTCCAAGCCCTGGACTAAAATATTTTTCAAATGTTAGATAAATCCAAAATGGCAACAAAGACAGTACAGAAATTGATTTATTGCTTGAGTCTAACAAGCTACATTTTTATTCTTTGTTTGAAGTTCTAGATCCAGTGCTCATAAATAAATTAATAAACATATTTATCTTTTTAAAAATAAAACATATTAAATAAATAAATTAATAAGCATATATACATTTTTAAAAATAAAACATATTGAAAAGTTTTAACAACCATACATACAAAAAAGTAGTTATAAAATTTAGGGCCTTTTATGGTTTTAATTTTTAAAAATTAGAGCAGAATCTATGTTTATATAACCTTTTTTGATGATTCTTATATATTTTTATCGTTTTTTATTTATATCAGTTAATTTTATTGACATACTGGATAATAATTTTTTATCTTTTTTAAAATCTCCATAGTGAGATAAACTTAAAAACTCCAGTTTAATAAGAAAATTAAGCATTTTAAAAATGCAACTTAAATAAGAAAGTTTAAAACTTAAAAGAAAACAGATATTTCAAGAATCTTCTAGTAGTAAAAATTAACTCAGGGAAATGCTACAATATTAAATAACTTTGCTTTATTCTTTATATGATCATAATTGTGACTTGTAAAAATCGGAAGTATATTTACTATAGCAGTAAAAGTACGCATCGCTTCTCAAGAACATTTAATTTTATAAAATGTTATGACAGTACGTAAACTTACTTTATGTTATTTTAGATTTCTTTGATAAAAAAATTAAAATATCATAATTTTAAAAACTAATAAATATTTCAAAAACTGGAAATATAGCATAAAAAAGAAAAAAATATAAAGAAATATTTTGCTATAACTATCAGTTAAAATTGTTGACTATAATTTTATAGATTTATAAAATGATTTTTAAGTTTGTTTTTATAAGTCATAAAAAAGAAATATATAATTATACATCATAAAAAAAAAAAATCATTTTTTGTTTTGTGATTTTCAAAATTCTTGAGGCATTTTCTTGAATATTTCAACGTTTACATATTTTGCTTGAACATTTCAATTTTTACACTTTTTCCTTGAACATTTCAATTTTTACAGAGTAAAATACACAACTGATATCAATACACAACTTTGAACACTCAGGCATAATGAAAACAAAAAAACAACAAAGTTTTCGCTGCACCATACTGTGTGTGTGAAAGCTTACTATAAAATCTAGTATTAAACGATGGAACAATTAATCCACCTTTATGTAAGATCTTTGTTAATTTTATACAAGACTTATTAAAGAAAACCATTCATTAATAATTGATGAAAGCTTATTGTTTGCGCGGCTGTGTAATAAAGTATTAGGTTTTAATGTGATTATAAAAATTAAAGATTTAATGATCATTAAGCGAATTCTTAAAGATGTAAATTATGAGGAAAGAATTTAATTAGTCTTACGGCTTCTTTTTGAGTTGTTTTACAATAAATTTGTTTCAGAATGGATGCCACTAAAACAAACACGAAAATGGATGCCACCAAAACAAACAACAAAATGTTAGTTGAGAGTTGAGTAAAGTAAAATATATATAGAATATAACGTTTTTTCATAATATCTTAATATAACTCAGATAAAATACCGTTACATTTGTATAAGTCATATGATAAAACATTTATATATTTTATCATTTGACTATAAGGTGTCCATGGTATGTTGTATCCACGTTAAGTTTTTATTTACTTATAATTTAAAATTCTAAGAGAGCTTTTGTAGAAGAACTTTATTTTAATTTATTTTAATGGTTTAAAAAAAATCAACACAGTTTTATTCAGTCTCATCTTTACCCATGTCCAGCCTCGGCAGCCGCTGCGGGGCCTGGGCGTTTGGAGAGGCAGCCTACAGGGAACCTTTTTTTTTTTTCTCGTTAATTAATAAAAAAAACTTTTTTTAATTGAATTATGAAAATTTTAAAAAAAATCAAAATTTACTTTTTATAATTTTTAATATATAGTCATTTTTTTGAATACAAGATGGAGAAAGAAAATTTCTGCTGCATTGATTACACCAGACATGGCGAAGCTTTTGCAATAAGCGGGCGTAGTATAAATAAAAAAAAATTAAAAATTCCTTTCTTCTAAATTCTTTTTTTAAAAGTAAAGAAATACAAATATTTTTTTTTTATGTAAAAATATTGAAAAATTTCTTGCTAGCCTCATTTATTAGCATGGGTGAGCCTAGTAAGAGAAAGTCCGGAGGCAAAAGAAAGAAAGAAAACACTTAAAACGAATTGCAAACCTAAATGTTGTTGCGTTCTTGCCAAAGTTGCGAAAAGATAATCTGATGCATTTTCACTTAAGGTGTTGGATGCTTTAGACTCCATTAGTGCACATTGCAAAAAATTTACCTCATAACGTCGAAGTATTTTCTACTGAACATGCCGAATGGATTCGCCAAAATAATGGTTTGATTAAGTTCATCACAAAAAATCAGGAAAAAGAGATGTCAACGCTAATAATTTTTCAAGGTCTGAAACCCGTGACAATGCTGGAATTTGAAGGCACATCTCAAAAGAGTTATTTTTTCCGAAACTAGTTAAAATAGAAAAGAAAGAACGCGGTTGGCTGGTATATTCTGCTAAAAGTGGTAAAGTGTACTGCAAAACTTGCCTATTTTTTCTAAAAAGACTAAGAGTTATTCAGCAAACAAAGATGTAGTTTGCAACTGTAAAGTTTCTTATAAGGCAATCAGTGAGCATGAGCAATCAGCTGAACATAATAATGCCTTTCCTATCTTGGTTAATCAAAATAAATGAATTTATTTATTGGCAGGATGACGAGCTTCGTTTCCAATTTAATTAATATTGATGATATACCAGTGACCAAAAAAACTGGTATCTATATTTTCTAGTTTGCGTACGGATTTTATTGTGCGGTTGTGGGAACGGGGAAGTAAAAGCTGGACCATAAGACGGGCCTGGTTTTATTATATATTTTTAATTGAATTTAATCAATTCACTAAAATCAAAGTTGATATATTTGTTAATTTTTTTTTGAGCTGTCAGTAAATTATTGGACTCCATAAAGTTGAACAATCTTAAATAAGACATTTATGTAAATTATAAGCAGTAACTAATCCACTACAGAATCAAATGATATTTGTAATTTTAACCAATGTTAATATTAAAAATTTCTTTTTTCATCTTATAGATACGAACTGTCTCTTTAGTATGTCTAGATTAACTTTTAACAAAATAAAGAAGTTGTTATTGAAGCTTTTAGTTTTTTCCAAGCAAATGTTTAACAATCTAGGCAATTATTTAACTTTTGGGAGTTTTAACTTTGTTAAATATTTTCAAAGAAAAGTTAAATCTGATTATTAATTTTTTTTTTAATTATTATTTTTTTTTTTGAGAGAATAATATGTACGAGATAAAAAGATCTTACCACAAAGCTCCTTACAACCTAAAAAGAAAGGTATATAAGGCCCACATTTGTTCATTGTGTTTCTAAGTGAAATAAAAGTGCGAATCTTTAATATAGTTTATGATAACTAATGATAATGTATAAACTGATAGTCAGTGTGGCACACATCTGAAACATAAGTAAACTTTGCATAACTTCGCTAATGTACGTGGTATAATCTTTAAATAAATACGTGAAAAACTAGATACGGCAATCATATGGACCATTATATAAAAAACATGATCTTGACACATTTTAAACTTTAAACGCGTTTTAAATTATAAAAATAGTAATATAATATAATGTTAAATTGTGATTTAATATTATATTACTCTCTGAAGTAATATAAGTAATATTGTGATTCGATTGGGGATAATGCAAGAATGACATCAGGAGGTTCAATTAAATTGTGATTCGATTGGGGATAATGCAAGAATGACATGAGGAGGTTCAATTAATTGTGGTTCGATTGGGGATAATGCAAGAATGGCATCAGGAGGTTCAATTAAATTGTGGTTCAATTAGGGAAGTTTAATAGTTTTTATAAATTTTGTCTGTTTAAACGGATTTTTGATGGAATGTCTTTGCTAAAATTTGTAAATATCAAATTTTTATTTAAAGATGAAAAAAATTTTACATTGTGTTTGCTGCAAAGAAGCAACATAATAAAAAAACGATTCTAAAAAGGCAAGCACTAAGTATAAAAGTCAAATAAAAAGATAAAAGTCTTTCAAACTTCATTGTAACTAAGAAGTTAATATTGACAGCTGAAATTAGGTATAAAATTGATTAGTTTCACATCAAGAACAAACTGTCTCAAAAAAGTACAAATTTCTGGAAAGGTTTGGCCAAAAGCATCCATGCTTATTAACACCATTAGGGGTTTTTTGAGCATCTAGCATAACTCCATTTTTTTAATAATTTTATCTGTCAGTTACATAGCATCTGGTTTAACTCTCTAAGTCTAACTCTCATTTTTAGATTAGTTAACTTTTCTTTATGATCGACCACTTTTTTCATAGTCGATATATACATATCTAGATCTAATTACTTGTTATAATTTGAAGTTAAACTATTTTTTAACTTTTTTGTATTAAAACATTTTATAATTAATCTTTTTCTATATTTAATGAGGTTTAATTCATTTAATAAGTGCAAAAATATAAGAAAAAGGTAATCAACACATCTAAAGTGTTTAACATTTTTTATATAGTGGTAAAAATCGTGTATACAGCCTAGTGCTTGAGGAAAGAGAACCGTTCATTCCTGGTAAAGAAATTGAATTTTTTGAGAACATCGACGAAGGCTTAGAAAGGTTAAAAAAGTGTAGCAGTTACAATATTTAATGTTATTTTCAGTGTTATATATTGTTATTTTCAGTGTTGAGTTTTATTTATATATATATATATATATATATATATATATATATATATATATATATATATATATATATATATATATATATATATATATATATATATATATATATATATATATATATATATATATATATATAACTCAAGATAACGTGTTTTGAAAACCAAATATATAGAAAATCTAAAATTCTGTTTCGGATAATCATAAATGTGTTGTTTTTTTGAAATAAAAATAGAGAATATAATAAACCTAAGTTATTAGAAATTCTTGTTAAATATGTTTCATATTTTATAAATTGAGATGTAAATATAAATTTTGTAAATAAATTTACATATTATTTAAATATATATACATATATATTATAAAAACTTTAATGATTGTGTCATCTCGATCGATCTTTTTTCTATTAAGCCGCAACCATCGTTTTTATTCGATCGAAGCTTTATTCAGGCAACCAATTTATTAAAACGATAAAATCATTTAGCTATAAAAAAATAAATAGTGAAATTAAAAATGAAAAAAAAACAAACATAATACTATAGTACATGTAACTCAAAGACAAATCAATTAGTAAGAATCAACAAGCAAATTTGAAACTTTTAAAAGTAAATAGGAATGACGTAGTTAAAATAGACAAACCACGACAATATTATTATCTTTTTATTGTTATATTGTAGTTATTATATTTCTTGTTACTGTAGTTTTTATTGTTATAAATATTATTGTTATTACTTTTATTATTATTATTATTATTGTTATTATTGTTATTATTATTATTAACTCTATTGTTATTTGTATTGTTGTTGTTATTTTTAAAATTACGAAACATTATTTGTTTATTTGACTACCAAGAAAACACAACAGATATACACGTAGATTTGTTTCTTCTAGAAAAAGAAATTAATATCGCTAATTTTAACATTTTTATTTAAATCCTAAAAAAAATGTTTTGTTTTTTCTGCATCCTCTTAGGTTAAAACTCTGTATGACATCTTATTTTGACGCCAAATGCATGGTTGCACAGTTACGTGGTTGCAGTCGAAATTCGATTCATTTGATGTTCGGTTAGTAAATGAATCTCCTTCCTGTAAAAATAAAGAATTGATTTAATTCATAAAAAATAAGATAAAAAGTTCAAAATAAATAGTTTAATAAAAAAAAATTATATATATATATAAATATATTTTCAAACATCATCCACGAATTAATACGTGCATGATATTATTTGTTCGTAAATGGCAATTCAGTCATTTTCATGCACAACGTCAACCAACTACGATGAACTTAGCGTACCTATTTTGTAGCATGTTAGTATCCAAAATTCTCTGGCCTAGGAATTTCGTCTTTATGTACACGTACATGATAGTCGCTGTCGTCCGTATCATCCTCGTCACGAAGGATTGTCGATTTAACGTCTCGTTCTGTTGAGTCGTCTAAATTATTTTTTTCTACATCATAGAAGTAATGATTTGCTTCAACAAATGGATTGTTTGGAAACAATGATCGCTGAAAGTTCATTGAAGCTCCATCATCTGAACCATGTCCGTTTTCATCCCCAAAACCACTGTTACCTTGTAGACCTCCAATGTTCATATTTGGATTTTCATTTGTAAAACTCTCGTCACGCGCAGATTGAGAGCTGGGCAGGTTCATTGCTCCTCCTATTGAATCGGGTATTCCAGGTCCAAGACCGTTATTATTTTCCACGTTTCCTGAACTTAAATCTGCTAATCCATTTGGCATACCGAATTGACTTGGTTCGTTTGCTCCTAAGCCTCCTAATCCTTGCAAATTATGACTACTTAGTCCATTAAACCCTGCATCTTGCTGCCCTGATAGTCCATGTTGAATTGAGCCTAGACCCGATAAAGCTGATTTAACAAATGCGTTATTTTGAGCCCCAAGTGTATTTTCAACACCACCAATTCCTCTTCCTAAACCAGTACTTCTATCAAGTCCTGCTAAAGGTGAATCTCCTGATATTGTATTTCCTACAGGCGACTGTGCTCCACTTGGATGAACAAAAATGACTGAATCACCACCGTCGGAATTACCACCTAATAGTTGCCTTCTAGGCCTCACCAAACTGTACAGATTTTTCAATGTTATCTTACCATATGCTTCCCTTGGATCAAATGGAATCTCACTTCTTTTACCAAAACCACCGCCACCACCAGCATAACCACCTGCGCCTCCACCATTATAACTAGGAGCTTGCATTTCTCCCTCGTAACCTTGATTATATCCTTGACCTCCAGACATTCCTCCAAAGTTATTACCAGCGTCAGGCGAATACCCAGAATATCCTCGTTCTGGACCTTCATGGCCATAATCATTGTGATTACCTTCTTCTCGGTGACCAGGGAAATTAAACTCATGCTCGTTATTTCCCCATCGATTTGGCGAATGAATAATGTGAGGTTGATGAATAACTATTGGTGGTCTGTGATAAACTGTTGGAGGCGATGTTACATGAACAGCAGGAACGTGGTTTCCAGCATTTATTATTGGAACTGGTGGGCTTATATGCACAGCTGGAACATGTGGTCTAACATGAATAGCAGGCACATGAGCTGGGATATTTATATATGGTACGTGAGGTCCAATATGGACAGCAGGAACGTGTGGTCCAATATGCACTGGTGGATAATGAGGTCCAATATGAATAGGCGGTGTATGTGGTCCTACGTGTACGCTTGCTGGGAATGGATGCCAACCGTAATACGGTGCTTGTCGTTTGTCTTTTTGTTTTGTCTGTTGTATAATATTTGGTTCAGACTCACCTTCAACAGATCTTTTATGAACTGATCTTTTCCCATAATCTCCGCATCCATGAGGTTCGCATCCTTCGCATCCATGTCCTTCGCACCCATGATCACCACCATAACTACCACCATATCCGCCACCACCATACCCAACACTACCATGAGCACCATTTCCCCAATCACCGTGTCCACCGTAATTATGAGATCCACCATATCCCCCATCATTATAGGCTGCATGACCCACAATATGAGGTTGGTGATAAACAACTGGTGGTTGATGGTAAACAGTTGGAGGTGATGAAACATGAACTGGAGGACCCATTGGACCAGCATGAACTGTAGTTACCGGTGGTGGCATATGAACAAATGGAACATGTGGACCTACATGATAAAGAGGTGCATGAGTACCGTAATGAATGCTAGGAACATGGGGTCCTACATGAACTGCAGGAACATGAGGACCTACATGAATTGGTGGGGCATTTGGGCCAACATGAACTGGAGGTGTATGAGAAGGAACATATGTTGTATGATCTTGATGTTGTCCCCAGCTACCAGCATCGTTTCCATAAACGTTTGTTCCCCAACCATGATGACCTTCAAGCTCATGACCTCCATTACCATTCCACCCGCCAGATTCACCACCAACAGCAGTATGATGACCTCCCCAGTTTCCACCATTGTTCCATCCACCGTGACCTCCCTCAAATCCTCCAGCAGCTCCATGACAGCCTACTCCAAAACATCCATAACCGCTGCTTCGAGGGTATTCAATAACTTGAAGTTTTGATGGCTTTGTATGAAAATTTGCCCCTTCTTGGCTAGCAGTTATATGTGATCTTTTATAAAGTACATTGAACCTGGACTCAGCTTGTTCGTCTTGCGTATCATACGGTCTAGGGGTTACTGACGAGACCACTAAAAGCAAACCACAAAGAACTGTAATCATTATACAATTGTATTTAACTTTAAACCATTGAATAAATGTTCTTTAAATAAATATTCCTTGCAAATATTCCTTCACAAAAATTATTTTATCACTTTTGAAAACTCAGTAGATGTTTTTTCATGAAGTGAGATCAGTAGAAGCTTTGGGAATGGCCACGGCTGGTAGTGCGAATACGCAATTAACCATGCGTATCGGTATACAACAGCAAATGCTTTAAACGCTGTTCTATGAAGTGCCAATTTTGAAGTGTTTTTAAGTTTAAATTTTCGAATAATTAACTTATTTACTAAAACTAAAACGTTTCTAAAAATAAAAATAAAATCCAAAAAAATTTATTTCTAACGTCATGAGTTATGTTAAAATTTTTATAAAACGATCAGAAAAGGTCTAACAAGGGTATTAAATATAGGTATTAAAAATCAAGGAAAGTAAAACTCATAGATATTAATACCTTCTGGATAATTTATGCAGAGTTTTTTCAGACATAATTGCTCGTGTCTAATAAAATTGCATTTTTAATTTTGTATTAATTAAATTTTGTTTAAACTAACTAAAATTTTAAACTCATATTAGTTATTTATTTTAAAGATATATAGTTTTAACAAAATTCATTGATACAAAAAGTATTTATTAAATCACAAATAATATTTTAAAATCTATACGGTAACAATAACAACAAGCGTTTATACTCTTTTCTTGTAATTTTACTAAAAAATTGCGTTTGTTTTTAAATTGCCATTTTGAGTATAAGCTTTTCTTTAAACTTTGTTTTTATTCTTCATAAAACTGATCAAGTTAAAAGAGAATAATCCATAATTTTTGTTAAATTTATATTCTCATTATTCCATAACAAAAGTCTCTTTGCCATATTAATTCAGCCATATTGCTCAAAATTATTTAAACTTTTAATGTAACTGTGTAAACTCTTTGGTTAATATTTTTTAATGGATTTTAAACTATATGATATGTGCTCTATAGTCTTTCTCTAAATGATGGTGTTCAATTTCAAAAATAAATTTTAATTTTAAGGAATTTTTAAGCAATTTTTTCAACATGAAAATTTCTTTTAACATTTTTGACTAATGACGTAAATTCAAATTTATTATGTTGCCTAGAGTCTGAACACTTGAAACCTCATTCACTCCTTTTAAATGAGTTGTTAAAATGGAAGGTGGGAAATACCAAAGCACCGTTATCATTACCTTTTTTTCTTTATCAATTAACTATCCAATTTATCAATAAACTATTTATTTTTTTTAATGAACTTTTAATTCTCTTTTTATTTATTTTTAATTTTAACTGGATAACTTTCTTAATAATGTAACGTGTGCCAAATTTTGTTTATTGTGTACATAAATGTAATACGTGCGTCAAATATACAAACGCTAGTTACCTTGCTAATGTGCGTTACACAAATTACTATGGTAATGCGTGTTACACACATCGCCGAGGATTTATAACATGTGTGTGCTATATACAAACATGTGATACACTTGAAAATATTTCTTTGGTAAGACATCAAAATGTAAATTCAGGGCTGTCCCGAAGAGATCTTAAAGGAGGGCGGGGAGGGGGGGTTGACGTGTCTGTTTTTTGCCGAACAAAAACATGAAATTTTTTTTTCCGACTAAGATCTAAAAAAAAAGGCCCTTCTTGCTGACATTTGCCGACTGCTAACTATAGATCCGACTAATAAACTTTGCAGGAAGGTAGGGGGTGACAACCCATACGCCGCCCCTCCTTCCCTTCTGAACGCCTCTGGAAAAGCCCTTACCATTCAGTAAATGATATATAATATAATAAATAATTATAAAAATAATATTCAATAAATAAACATGTTTATCAGTAAACATCACGCGTAAAAACCGTAAAAAAAAAAAACTGTCGTCAATTACGAAATTCATTTCAAACAATAAGAAGTTTAAAAAAAAAAAAAAGAAATAACAAATAAAAAATATTTCCAAAAAAAATTTTAAATCATATAAAAAAAGTTGCGGAACTGTAATTCCGTGACTTTAACAGCAGAGTAAATAAAGTAAAATTTGTAATGAATAATTATAATATAATAAATGATACGAATTTTTTATTTTTAAAAGTTTTTCTTATAAATCAAGTTTAGGAGTATTTCTCGTTCAAGCCATTCGAGTTTAAAAGCCTTTCTCATATTCGTTTAGTTTATTTTTGAAAATATTGTTATTATTAATATTACCAAATTCATTGGTTAGGCTGTTCCATTTATTCACTATTCTGTTTGTAAAGAATTTGTTTTGGTTTTTGTTTTTAATAAAAAAGCAATTTCATTAATTTTTGTGTCTTATTTGACCTAATACTCTGTTTGCTTTTCCTGTTATCATATTTACAAGACTTTGCCATTTTAAATCGTTAGATATTAAGACACCTAAATCTAGTTCCAAAAATGTTTTTAACATAGTACATTGACTTGCATTGTTTGTTAATGAACTCATATAGTAGGTATAGTGTGGTTTTTTTTTCCTATATTCATAATTTTATATTTTTTTGTGTTAAAGTGTAAAAACCATTTCTTAAAGACCAGCTTCAAAAAGAAAATTACGTATCTCCACTAGAAAAAATAGAGAAATTAGCGCACATGAGCGTGAAAAATTTTTAATGAAATTTAAATACATTAAAAATAATGTAAAAAGTTAGGAAATAATTTAACATATTTTGATATTAAAACAAGTTCAGAATAGGACGAAGCTTTTAATACCAATAAAGTAAAGAAAAACGTTAGTAATCGCAACGAAAAAATTAAATACCGTAAAATCGCCTAAGTTCGGTCACTTAAACCTAGGAGGGATAATTATACCTCCTTGTTTAAACTTTAAACATTCCTATCTCAGGCATGTTTTTTTTCTGTATTATTCAATTTTATTATTAATTTATATTGTAAAAAGAAAGTAATAAAAATAAAAGCTATCTTAAATTTTATATTTCAAATGAGAACAACTACTTGACCGAACTTTTAATACCTTTTCATTTCAGTCGCTATATAAATTCTAATAATGCATCAAAAACTTAACGCCACAAGTAAAAAAAACTAATATAAAATGTTGTTTTATTGTAAAATGATGACGTATTATCATGTATTACCAGTAAACAAGGAGGGCGTTGCCCCGGGTTAAAAAAAAGTCTTTTGGGGTGCCAAAGAAAACAACAAGGAGCGCATAAAAAATATTTTATAAATAAAAAAGAATACTATTTAAGTATAAATAGTATTATTTTTTATTTTATCATAATTAGTAAACTATTTTATTACTTTGACCATTATCATTTTCGCTACGCCATTGATTAATAAATTTAAAAATATATTTTTCAATTAAGTTAAAAAGGTTTTTTCAACTCAGAAAAAATACTAATTTGCTTTAAATAAGCTTTGTATGTTTATTGGCAATTCTTGCACATACCATCGACCAAATTAGAACAGCAAGATCCACACAACCAATTGTCACAGGATTCGCAACGCATCCAAAATTGTTATTAAGCTGAAATTTTATCTATAAGAAAAATGGAACAAGCTTGACATTTTTTTGAATTCAAAGAAAAATCAGATTGACAATCTTGATATATGGAAGTTGCTTTGGATTCAGATATAGTCGAAACTTTGATTTCTTCCACTAGTTGTTATTTCCGTTGATTAATAATAGGTTTATTAAACAAATTAGTTTCCTTTGCCAAACGTTTATGAGTCCTAATTAGCCTCCTGTTTTGTTTTTTCATTCAAATCTTTTCTAGCTTATATTTTTTTCTTATTATTTTGTGCCATTATTTGTTTGTTTATATCACAACTTCTTCAGAAGTCATAATATAACTTTTCATGAGACGCATGTTATTATTAGGAAAATTTAACTTTGACTCTGATACGGAAGCTTTTGGGCATGACAGCATGTAAAGCATTTTAAATGCCTTTGAATGCTCACAAGCAGTTGTACAGCATGTTAAGCTTTTGTTTTAATGACTTCGAAGAAGTTTGTGTACTTGAAGTTCTATGCTTTTGTATACTTGAAGAAATTTCTGAAATTGCGGTAGCTGGTATAGGTAGTGTTGGTAAGGCTGGAGCACATTGCGCAAAAATTGATTAAATAGCTAATTTTTTATTATAATGAAAATAAATATAAAAGCCATTAAATTAAAGTAACTATAGTTATTTTTTACCGACACAACTGAAAAATACCTATTGTTTTGAAGCCGGTACGCTCATTATCGCTAAAGAAGCTTTGGTCAACAAGCTGTGTGAGCAACCCAAGGTAGTTAGGTTTGCTCAGGATTCCGCGTCATTTACTTTTCATTTTCCTATATATGCCTGAATCAAATGGTTGTAGGACGTAAGATGTATGAGTCGGTAACTTAAAAATAATAATACTCTTTTGCTTCTCCTCTTTTGCTAAGTGAATTAGTTCCAGCGTTACATATGAGGCAAGCCCTTCTAAAAAAAGGCATTTTGAACCTTCAAGCTTGCAACAATGTGGAAAGAATGTCTTTTCAAACCATCCAACAAAAACAGTTTCTTCCATCCAGCCAGATTGCGTGACACCATAGGTAGGTAGCACCGTTTGAATTGTCCTGAGTTAGAAGCAATTTGGACATCTAGTTTTCCGGATTCTTTGCACACATGTTTTAAATGCTTTTTAAAACAAATAACTAAATCAATAAATATTACATTTGGCCTTGGAATAAATTATGAACAGGCAAGAATGTTCCAAAAGCATCATAGCAAACGAGAAACTGAAGTCTTTTCGTTGCTACTGCAAAGTTCTAAGGCCCTTTTAACTTTTTTGACACACTACCTTAAATTTGCCTTGATCACATTGAAGGTCAGATTTATTGCAATTAAAAATGTGGAACGACTTGGTGCGAATTCATGTATATTGTACATATAAGAAACTTGTGCAAACCTTGATTAAATAGTTTTAAAAAGTTATTAAGTAAGTCATTAAAATGCTCTATATTAAGCAGTTTATAAAAAAAGGAACATTTTGTAAAGATTGTAAATAAATTGAGTTTTACCTTTTAAAAGTTGCGCTTTTTTTTTTTTAATTAAAAAATAATTTGGTATAAAACATATTTACATATAAACATACAATTTTAATAAATACCATTGATCGATAGTGCCTTAAAATGCTGAAAGTTTATTATTCTCGTGGATAATTATCAGTTCACTAAAATATAAAATAACCTCTTATATTTTATATTTATACTTTTGACCCATTATATTATTTATTTGAGCAGCCGTGGCGCAGTGGTAGCGCACTTGTTTCAGAAACGTAAGATCCCTGGTTCAAACCCCACCTCTGGACAAGTTTTGCGACATCGGTTAGGAAGGAGACGTGAGCTTCCTATTAAATGCTCTTTCGCGGTGCTCTGTGATAAGACCGTAAGGACTTCTTGGGGCACCTAAATCAACATTAAAAAAAAAAAAAAAAAAAAAAAAAATATACATATGACCCATTTTTTACATATGACCACATATATACATATGACCACTTATATACCAAGACCTTATTGTATACATATGACCCATTATATTTATTATTTATACTTTTACATAGTTATATTTACAATATATTTCGTTGATATGAAAGCGATTAGTAATATCAGTAAACAGATGAACTAAGTGAGTAAAATTTTTAGACAATTGACGTATATTAAAAAACAAAAAAGAATTAAAAAAAAAATCCTCAGGAACATTAAACGCACCGCAGATTTATTTCTTGAATTATGACCGCTAGTACTTAAAATTGTTTCCAACCTGAATGATAAGATCTAAATCAATTGCAACGTCACATGATTTTCTTATTTAAAAATCAAAATGTTGCGGTCTACGGTACCAAAAACCTTTTGTAAATAATAAAAAAAATAAAAACTCCACAAACAAAATGACTAGTATCAAGAGCTTTTCCAATTTTGTTTTAGTTAAAAACATATATAAACTAAACTCCTTATCATTATGTAGCAAGTTTAAACAAAACTA